GCATTTGAGAATTGTTTGAAATTGTAATTCTTCTTATTTACAATGAAGAAGCTGTTGATTTGTTGGCTTTTCTAGTCATATCAAGGACGTTTCTGAGCTGCTTAACAGCACTTAGAGATCAGGATAGAAGAGATGATATGCATTTTTAACATCTGCTGATAATTGACATTTTATATATATATATATATATATATATAAACGTAAAAGACAATAGGAAAACTATTATTAGTCAACGGGTTTCGTCCAATGTGGACTTTTTCAAACAAAATAAATCCATTAAAAGCAAAGTAACTATTATCAACAAACAAAATGTCCTTGGCAACTAAAAGAAATTTGTTAATATCTATTTTGTTTTTAATAAATTCATTTCGCTTTTATCTTGAAAAAAAGTCCACATTGGATGAAATGGGTTGGCTAATAATACAGTTTTCCTATTGTTTTTTACATTTATTCATATTGTGTTTTTTGTATGCGGTTAACTGAGAAATATATATATATATATATATATATATATATAAAAAACATAGAAGTCAACACTCAGAGGACAAGCTGTTTCATGCTAGACGCAATTATCCTCATCAGGCTACCTGATGATTGCATCTAGCATGAAACAGCCTGGGTTGACTTGAATATTCACTTTTATATTTACATATGCTCTATCTCTGATATTGAGCACTTTATCCCATAAATATAGCACACCTTAAAACTATATATATATATATATATATATATATATATATATATATATATATATATATTGTATTTTCCTGATGATGATTTTATTTTTTATCTCAAGAAGATTATTTGTTATTGATCCTAAAATTCTTTAAACTAATTTTTTTTTTCTCATCAATGACATGGTTGGAGGAGTTATTGTTGATAAATGTTTGTATTATGTTTGCACAATTCTTCTTTATAAAATGTCCAAGTATAAATTATTTCAGATTGGTTAATCATGTTTTTTATTAAATAGCAATTTTATACCTCTGGTGACATTCACTTTTGAAATTGAGATGACACAAATTTTTGTTTGTAGCTTTTTTGATACAGTGAAACAGTAAAATTATGACTGTTGGTGTCTACTAAACCAACAATAAAAAGAATTCAATTATTAATGTTAAATTCATAAGTAGTGTTGAAAAGAGTTATTCTCAAACATTTCATTAAAGGGTTTTTTTTTTAGGTTAGGATTTTCATTAGTATGAATATATCACCAATATATGGAACACATACTGAAATTATGGAAGATTTTTTCTAAATGAGTCATGTGAAATTGGATAAAGTGGGGCTGAGAAGCTGACCCCTCATGATGATGTCAATGTGTAAATGTCATCATAATTATAAAATGGTACTCATATTGTGCAAGATAAAAGTTTATGTAGAATTGTTGGTCTAATATTAGGAGGGGATATTTAATGGGTGTATAAAATAACAATAATAATATTGGGTTGGAATTAAAATTTATAGTGTTTTTTAATATATGGCATTTGAACACATAATTTTGTTTTGTGCGGGACTGAAATTTATAAAATATATACATATTCTGAAAGGTGACCGTTTAGTGCATATTTCAATAGTGTGGCACTGGCAAATGAAAAGAAAAGGGTTAAGTTAAAAATATAAGCTTGGAACAAGACAAAAAGGGTTAAAGAATAGAATGATAGATATACTGAGAGAAAGAGTGAAGTTACTTTTAATTTTGAAAGTTTATTTTTTTAAGCAGAGATGGCTTGAGGAAAGTGATTTTGCTGTTTTGGGGAAAAGATATTACTACAGAGACTATCTGGAAAAAGCTGGGCCGAAAGAAAACAGCTCCTAAGAATCAGCCGGGAAAGGAAGCCGATTGAAGAGATAATATTTGCTAATTTTTAAAGACAAGGCAGAATTAAAAAACAAATTCATTTCACCTATCAAGAAAGTGAAAATTGTAAACAAGTTGAGAAGATAGAATTTCTTTATCTAAGGACCCAACCCTGGGTTCTTAAAGTGCGATGACCCTAACAAGATGGGAAAATAAGCTGACCAGGGGAAACAGCTGGTAAATTTTTGATAGTATAAACAAGATCAGGCTGAGAAAAATTTGCTGATGAGAAAATAAAATGATAATTCTAATTAAATGACCAGAGACTGGCCAGAGAGAAGTGTTACAATAGTAGTCATGTGTAGATGGTGAATTTTAAATGTTTTATGTGAATATAGAAGAAAATAAGATGCATTTTCATCATGTGATATTCTTTTATTTATGGAAATGAAAAAAAGAAAGCCATACAAATAGCAAAGAAGATAGGCACTGTTTAATGGAGATAGTGCTATAGCTGGTAGTAGTGTTCATAAGTGGTTTGCTAAGTTTAGAAAGGCAAATTTTGACCTGGAAGGATGAGAATGTTCCAGCAGATCTGCAGCTGTTATTGAGGACTAAATCAAAATGTTGTTTAAAAATACTCCATGCCACATGATACATCACAGAGATACTCCACACATCCCATGAGTATTGTAAAATATTTCAAAACACTTGGATATGTGAATTGCTGTGATGTTTGCATATCTTATGATTTAACAGAAAAAATTTAATAAATCACATTTCCTTATACAATTTTCTAATTGCTAATGAATAATATTTTCTTATTTCATTATACTCTTATATTTCAATTTTTTTCTAATTTATAAAAATAGATTTTTTCTTTTTGAATTTGAAAATATTCCAGAATTTGAGTTAAAATAATAGTATTCAAAGAAATAATAGCCCCCAAAATTCATTATTTTTGTATTTTATCAAAATTTTATTGAATGTGTAATTCTGTTAAATGTTTATGTTACGATTAGAAACAAAAATAAAAAATAGATCTTTGCTTTTTTTTTGCTTTGATATTTTGCATAAAATAGAGGTTAAGCAGCCAGAAAAAGAATTAATATCATACTATGAATTAATATTGTAGCTGGAGATGGTTAAAATTTTTATGATGTATTTTTAGTTTCAAATGAAGCTTTATTAATATTAGATTCTTTAGTTGAATTAATTCCAACCCAAAATTAAAAAGTTAGAGCAAAACTCCAGTGGATTCCAACATTTTATGCAAATCACATTTTTTCAAATATTTTCTTGTTGATTTCATATATTTAAACTTAATTCAGCCACCAAATTTGGGTAACACTGTCATGCACAGCAGTAACCAAATGGCAACCATTTTGTGCATTGACTTCATTGCTACTATTCCAATTTTATGCAATGTAGGATGTAAAGCATGTTTGAACAATGATAAAGAAAAAATTGCTCAAATGCTTCATGATCATTAAACAATATTAGAAACTGCTAAATTCCTTGAGCAAGAAATTTGTTACAAACTCTGTTACTTACAGTGACAAAAAGAACATACAGGAATCTTTGACTTTCAGTTGACAAATAGAAAACTGAAATATACAAGCATCTACTTAAAAATAATAAAGTGTTATTTGAAGCCATTGAGTTTCCAAATATGTCTAAAAATGTCATAATGATGCATCGTTGAACTGTGTAGGAACTGCACTCTACCAGTTGCTCACCCTCTGTTCAATTCTAATCACCTAAGTATGTCAGCTTGGTCAAACAGTATATGAAATTTGATTTCTAGGAAGTGCTATTCATAGATTGGTGGAATGGGTAAAATGGGAAGGAGAAACCTCAACCTGTTTGATTGAGGTGATTGGCCCCGGGAAGATGAATGAGGGTGTTAAATGACCTCTTTTGCCTGCACTAAATATGTAATAAAAAATTATCAAATAGTAAATTTACATGCTTAATTTGAAAATAACAAAGAAATCTTGATAAAATCCACAGTTTAGGAGTTATCAACAATAAAAGTTTGAACTTGTTTGTGTTATGGGACGGCAGCCATTACTGACATTGTTTGCATACATTCGCTGCTGATTAGATTATGTGGAAGATTACATTGTTAACAGCCTTTTTACAGTTCTTACTTGATTCAATAACTGCACAACTGAGGACTCATTGCATGCGCAATAATCAAGACTGTTCTGCAGCAAATATATGCAAACAACGCCAGTAATGGTTGCCGTGACGCGAATGAGTCTGAACTTCTATTGTTGATAATTTCAAAACGATAGATTTATCAAAATTTCTTATTTATTTTTGAATTAAGCATATACATTTACACTTAAATATAACTATTCGGCAAATTTTTATTACATATTTAGAGCGGGGCTTAAAAATCAAATTACCCTTTTGCCTATATTGAATTCCTCAAGTCCAACTTTTAGACACGGCTCAACAAAAGGATAGTGCCATTCAAATGAAAATTCATTTTCATACACAGCAACATTTCAACTCATACTGCTAGTGCAACTAATAAATACTTAGGTAAATTAGGGTAAAAAAAAATGACATGCTTATGGTATGATAGCAATGTTCTTTGGATCCAAGCCCCATCAACAATCTTTGAAGCACTGTCAAAAGGTATGTTTATCAGCAAGAAATTTGTATTAAAAATATAGCTTTGGGAAACAACACTGTTTTCAAAGCCATTACCTACTGAAGATCTCCTGTATTCTATCGACAGTAGGTGGCTAAAAGCTGTTAAAAACAATCAGCATGATATTGTTTTGTTGTTGTACTCAGGTTATAATGAGCATTTTTTTATGTCATTTCTTTGAATAAATTATTGTTAGGATATTCATTAGCTTTTATTCTTACAAACCTTCTCATTAATGTTTTAGACAACTGCATAAAAAAACAGGATAGAATCTAGATTCAATTTTATTTAATGATGTGACAAGGCTACAGGATATTTTAATTACACAAAAAACTTATATATGTGACCAAATTTTAATGATTTTGAAACCTTTACTTTTATAATTATTGTATTTTTCTTATTTGCATAAGATATTAGAATGTACTGTAATACGAGAAAAATAATGATAATGCCAGTGAAAACTTATAATTGTACTTCAGTATATGAAGTGTTTGTAATGTGAACATCCTACAGCCAGCAATAAAAAAGACTTACCATTAGACAGGCATAAGTTATCTGGAAGTGAGAGACTAATAATTAAAGAAATAGCATAATAATATTTTAAGTAGTGAAATAAAAATAAGGAAATAAGGTAAAAAAAAACATTAAAACAAAAAATATTACCATTTAAATCATGCAAATAGGCTTTTAAATCATAATTTTGATAGCATCTAGCACTATAAAAAAGTAAATACCTAATATTTTCACCAACTAAAATTAAAGATGAGAAAAGAGATTATAACTCACAAAGTTTCTTTGAAATCATATTCGATCAAAGAAGGATTGAAACTAAACTGGAAAATTGAACAATCTGATGTGTAAGTTAGTTTGAAAAAAAAAAAAAAAAAAGAAAAGAAAATAAGATTTTTTAATTAGAAATTCCTTTAAATATTAGAAACATTAAAAAAGAATGGTAGTGGTAATGTAAATAAAAATAGTCTGGTTTCATTTCCTAAAAGGTTTGGCTTGGTTTGTTTTACGGCATATCAATGTCATTTAATGCCAACTACTTTTTTTTCCTGGTAATATTTTTGTTTAGTCAAAAATCTATTTCTGGTAATATTTTTTTCCTCAAAAATGTTTAGCTGGTAATATAATTTTAAAAAATGTATTGCTGGTAATATTTTTTCTTCAAAAATTCATTTCTGGTAATAATTTTCTTGCAAAGGGTTTCTGGTATTAAAACCTAGTTTTACACTTTCATAATGCTTTTTACCTCAGTTTCTGGGTTAACTATTTGCCCATAGCTGGGACCCTAACTGGTGCTACCACCTCGAGTCAGGGTGGACCTGGGAAAATCAGCAATTAAGAGGTGGTTCCATGCTCCTCAAAGCCTCCTGATCAGAGGTCTTGCTGTTGGGTGGAGTTTATCGTCATACCCAGGATGGAGTTCCTAAAAGGTTAGTTTTCAAGTGGATATCTGATAATACGACTTTATATTATTCATGTTCTAACTCATTTTTTTTTTATTATCTCAAATCTTTATCAAATAACTATTTTTACAATTCTCAAAATATAATTACAGTTATTATAAAGTTCTTTTGCTTGCATAGATTAACTGAATATAGACGTAAAGACAAATTATAAATTCAATGTCTCAAATTTTGTAGAATCTTTCAAATTAATAAAATTGTTACTTGATAATGTGCTTTTCTATTAATACAGTATATTGTTTAATAGAATATGTTTTCTGTGTGACAAAATGAATATTGAAATTTATAGGAGTAAACAAATGTGACATGACTGCATGTATAATTTTGGTGATGAGATTTACATTAGTTGAACAATAAAGAGATTATAATAAGACTAGAAGGCAGTAAAGAAAGTATTAAGAAAAAAAAGAAAAGAAAAGGCTCTGATTCTTGTAGATAAAGGAAAATATAATTGAATTGTTCCTGTTCCCAAATAGAAAGGGGGTGGGTGGGTATTAAACATATGTATATGTTAGATTGTTGAGTGATATTAGATTTTAAATTTATTTATATGAGAAAGAAAAATAAAAGTTCAAGAACATTCAAATCTGCTTGTGTAATTTTTAGTTATTAAAAAAAAAACACAAAAAAAAATCAAGTATTTACTTATGAATTTCTTTATTTAAAAATAGTTTAAGTAGAATTTTTGCTTGCAAATCAAATATATTTAATTTCAAAATTAAAAGCAATTTATATCAAAAGTACTATATCTAAATACCGAGATTTAGTACATTTTAACTTATACAGCCACTGCATTACCTGAAATATTTAAAATATTAAAATTTCCTATGAGCCTTGAAGTTGTAGTATGTCTCTTCTTAAGACCATTGTCATTTATAAAACTAACTAGTCAAGACTAGGAATGCCGAAGACAGCACAAATCATATGGTATGAGTTTTTGTTGTGTGATAGAGGATCAAAGAGCAAATGCAACACTCAAAGGACAAAACAATCACACAGAATCATGTGAACCAGAATTTATATATAGTTATGTACATTAAAAAAAAATTTATTACTCAAAGAGTGGGAGTAAATAAGTTGATTTTAAAAAGAAGTCTTTAGATAAAAATACTGCTTCTTATCTTTCATGGGAAAAAGAAGAATCTCTTGCTTTGTTCCATTTCCCCCCCCCCCCTGTTTGTGTTTTTTTTTTTTTTTTTTTTTTTTAACTATACATGACGAAGTAAGCAATCAAAACTCATTTTTAAAAAATGTGCTCCAAACTCACTTCTTTACAAGTTCAACTTTTCCATTTCAAAAGGCACAAGCAAGAATCATTCTTTTCATATACACTTCTAGTCTCTGCCAGGAGGATATTAAGACATCTTGTCTTTACATATACACCGAAATGCCAAAAATCATGGAATATCAGTACATAAAGGTAATGGTAGGTGGCACCACCATACCATGACATCATAGAGATGCCCAAACCTATATCAGTTATGTTTTGACATCTGGTGAGATAGTGCGAACATTGGCTAGGCTGCTCATAGCAAGGTGACACAAATTATTGGAGTTAGAATGGGGTATGATAGTGGGTGCCAGACGGATGGGACATTCCATTTCTAAAATTGTGGCGACATTTGATATATCTCAAGCTGTGTCGATGTGTGTACTGAAGATATCTGATGGAAGGTATTATCACCTACTGTGCAGTGAATAGTACAAATCAGTGATCCTTAATGATTGTAACCAGAATCACCTGGCTAGAATTGTCTGTAGTAAAAGACAATTGACACCAGTTGAAATCACATCCATATTTAATACAAGAGGTAGCATCTTCACATTCAACAGGTCATTTCAGTGCTTTTTAGCTTTCATAGACGTAAGAGCAGAAGACCCACCTGGGTGCCTCTGTTAACAACACAAAACTGAGCACGGTGCCTTATTTGAGCTTGCAGTATCACTAATTGAAGCATGGTGAGCTGGCAACAAGTGGTAAGGCCAAATGCTATGGTTTTAAATGTTTCAGGTGATGCTAGGGATCAGGTGTGACACAGATCCCATGAATCCTTGCTGCCAACAAGACACTGAACAGGCTACAGGTGATTTTATAATTGCATGGGGTGTATTCACATGGTGTGGGTTAGGTTTGCTGGTCTGCCCAAATAATCATTGACTGGAGAATGCTATGTTGCTTTATGTCCATTTGCATCCCTTCATGGACTCCATGTACATAAAAAAATAGCTTATTTTAGTGGGAGAATGCACTGTTGACATTGCCCAGAATTGTATTCTGGAGACTTCTAACAAATGGTGTGGCCATCACATGCATTTAACATGAGCGGGATTTAGTTTTTCTGAGAATTTTTCTATACATCTTCAACTCGTACATCTTTAATATGAGTTAATATCTAATTATTCATATTGTTCTTACTAGCTTATTTAAATTTAAATGGTATTTTTGCTCTATAGTTTCATTTGCACAATTCCAGTTACCCAGATCTAGCATACTCATCTAAAATTTTGATATGAATTCACATTATGAGTAGTCATTTCATTTATAGCTTTGAGCTTCAATAGAAGAAAGGCAACCAGAAAACTCATGGTTTCATTAACTATATCCTATTTTTATAATTGTACATTGTACAGACCTTCATACCACTGGTCAACAGTTACTATTTCCAAAATGCTGAATTATAGAAAAATAAAAGTTAAATTTTGAATAGGTCTATATTTTATACTTGCTCAAATTATTTGCCTGCTCCATCAAAGGATTTTCTTCTTCACTTTCTTCATGATTATGAAAACTCCGATTAAACTTCGGAAAATAATTCATAGCATCACTAAGACTTTGATGTTTTTTTTTTTTTAACTATCATGACATTTAAATACAAAATATTTATAAAAATTATGCTTCAACATAAAATATTTCTGTTTCATACAAGGATTTTTGAAATGCTAACATCTCATACACTATGGATACTATCCTTTGCTATTATATAAAGACAACTGTGTGACATAGCCACAAACTAAATTCAATTAAATATGTAAAAAGAAAAATGTTTAAAATGAATCAGAAGTTTAATTTTAAGGACAAAAACTGGGATAAAGTATGGCAAAAAATTCTTACCTGTCCGTCTCCGCAACACTTTCCTTGGTGTGGCACTCATTCTGGATTTTTTGGGAATATCAAGTCTTTGTTGAGATAAGTTTTCCATGATAACATCCAATGAGGAGTTTGTGTCATGCAGGTGGTTGTTATTAGGTTCCATTTTTGATAGATATTTCTTTCGTGACAGAATCATGTAGTAACGCTGAAGAAAATTACGATATGTAAACCTAATGGGGGGAAAAAAAATAATAACTTAATATGATAGCACAGTGAGTGATTTGTGGTTAAATAAAACCATATACACACAAAGAAAATATTATTTTAAGTAGTTTCTGTTGAGTAATCCATAGTTAATTAAAAATATATTTTGTTCATGCCATAACAATATGGCTGGAAGAGAAAATGAAATATTACAAAAATATAAGCCGTAATTTGAATATACACTATTTACATTATTTGGACTATTGCCCTCATCTTTGTCGCCATATTTATTACAACATTTCGGCTGTTTTATGCTGCGGCCTTCTTCAGGTGGTTTGAATGTCGAACTGAACCGTTTATTTCGCTCACTGGGGTAGACTGTTCTAGTTCCATGTCTAATGGATGTCAGTTATCAGTTATCTCCAGTTAATTCCCCTCTGCATTAGAATCAATATCTCTTAAGCCAACTCTATGGTTAAGGTATGTAGATGACACCTTCATACTCTGGCCACACGAGGAAGATGTTCAGGTTCTACTGGACCATGTGAACTCAATAAGATGTTCGATACAGTTCACAATGGAGAAAAAGAGTAACAACACACTCCCATTCTTGGACGTTCTAATATCTCGAACAGAGCATGGGTTGAAGACATCCATATACCGTAAACCGACATTCACTGGACAGTACCTCAATTCCAACTCCCACCATCCATACAGTGTAAAGAAAGGGATTGTCTGCTGCTTACAACCCCGAGCAAAAGTCATAAGTGACGACCCAGAGACATTAGATAAAGAATTGGTCAGTAAAAGTAGTGCCCTACAATGTAATAACTACCCTGGGTATATGGCAGTAGCAGTCTGAATAATGTAAATAGTGTACATAATACCTCATCTCAGAAATATAGACAGATAATTTGAATATATTAGTGGGTAAAAGAATATATTAAACTAATGAAAAAACAGAAATAAATTGATAATAGTTTAGTTGAGGTAAAACTCGTCTGTTCCATTAAAGGTGGTGAAGCTTAAACTTGTCTGTTCTTTTCTTCTAAGGATTTTTATGAAGAAAATAAATGGCATGAGTATGCAAAACATTTTCTTACATTTTTGTTTTTAAAACAAGGAATGATCAAAACTGAACACCATTAGTTCTGTAAAGGAAGAGAGAGTGCAAGGATAAGCAAAATAAAAAAAAAAAAATTTTTACTCAGCTTAAGGACACATGGCACAGTGGATAAAGGCATTGGTTAGATCAACAGGACAGGACCCAAAGTGTACAAGTTCAATAACCAGTTAAGGCAGTGGAGAACTTTCAGAGGGAAATTACCAGGAGATAACTGATAACTGACATCCATTAAACATGGCATGTGGAACTAGAACAGTCTACTCAGTGAGCGAAATAAACGGTTCAGTTCAACATTCCAACCACCTGAAGAAGGCTGGAGCGTACAATGGCTGAAGCATTGTAATAAATATGGTGACAAAGATGAGAACAATAGTCCAAATAATGTAAATAGTGCACATAATAATGTCTCATCTCAGAAATATAGATATTTTTTCTTTCTCCACATTTTTTAATTGTCATTCATATATTTACACATATTTTTTCCTCCATTAAGATCTAAAGAGTAAGATGTTTTGCTATATCTTTACTTTGGTCATTAATGATTGTTTTTTTTATATCCTTACTCTTCCTCACCCTTTATTTTATTTATATATATATATATAAGTGAACATTGAAGTCAACACTCAGAGGTGACAGGCTGTTACATGCTAGATGCAATCATCAGGTCTGATGATTGTGTCTAGTATCAAACAGCCTGTCGCCTCTGAGTGTTGACTTCAATGTTCACTTTTATATTTACATACACTCTGATATTGAGCACTTTATCCCATAAATATAGCACACCTTAAAACTATATTTTATATATATATATATATATATATATATATATATATATATATACATATATTATGAAATGGACAAACATTATGAAATGGACAAAGTCCGACAATTATTTTAAGACATTTTTATGTTTAACATTCTTTTTATAGATACAAATATTTAAGTAAATGCTCTGTTTATAATAAACAGTATTAAACAACATTTACCGGCCTGAATGTCCAAGAAATTTTCCTAGAAAATATTCGTCCTCCGACAGGATTTGAACCTGTATCCTATACGGAACCGTCATTTAGCTTGACGTGCCTTTACCAATTTGGCCATGAAGGAGTGTTTGGTTAGCAAGGTCAAATTTACTGTATTTAAACTTCAATCTTCCATGAATCTCTCATGTATATTCATGTCTGCTCATGGCGTATCAAATGTAAACAAATGACGTCACACATTATGAAATGGACAAAGTCCGACAATTATTTTAAGACATTTTTATGTTTAACATTCTTTTTATAGATACAAATATTTAAGTAAATGCTCTGTTTATAATAAACAGTATTAAATAACATTTACCAGCCTGAATGTCTAAGAAATTTTCACAGAAAATATTCATTCCGTATAGGATACAGGTTTGAATCCTGTTGGAGGACAAATATTTTCTGTGAAAATTTCTTGGACATTCAGGCTGATAAATGTTGTTAAATACACTTTGCTTAACACACTTTATCCATTGTGTCATGTGTCCTCAAGGAGACATGGCTCAGTGGATAAAGGTGTTGGTTAGATACAGTGACAGGACCCAAAGAGTGTGAGTTCAATAGCCCATTAAGGCAGTGGAGAACTTTCAGAGGGGAATTAACAGGAGATAAATGATAACTGACATCCATTAAATGTGGCACGTGGAACTAGAACAGTTTACCCCAGTGAGTGAAATAAACGGTTCAGTTCGACATTCCAACCACCTGAAGAAGGCCGGTGTGTACAATGGCCGAAATGTTGTAATAAATATGGCAACAAAGATGAGGACAATATATAATGTAATAATGTAAATAATGTACATAATACCTCATCTCAGGAATATAGACAGTTATTATATTCTGTAGACAAATATAATAAACTTATTTCTGGTGAATATCTTGTGTAGTTTGTGCAAGGAGTTTGATGAATATTTTACCTATATTTGTTTTTGCATTTTTGTTATATGTGGGCTTGAATCCTCTGATGTTTCTATTTCTCTTAGACAAACCACTTTACATACTGATTCCTCCAACTGTAGTTTAAATTCAAGAGACAGGACTAAATTCCTTAGTAGGGGCTAATTCTGAGTTACAAAGTGTAGATGTTGTATTTGTCGTATTGTCTGGCCATTTGTAGACTAACTTCCAGTTCTCCCCGTCTTTTGTACACTGCATATTTATATTTTTTCAAATCTCGTGGTCGCTGTGATTTTGCGTTAATTTGCCAGCATAAAAACAATATAGCTTCCCCACAAGACTCTTTTTACATACGTAAGTTTTTTTTTCTTTTTCAAATTACACCAACCATTCACCAAACTTAAATCAGTAGATTATTCAGTAATTTATTGAACCAAAAAAATGTTCAATGAAGCAAAAAGCAATCATGAAATAGCACTAAAAAGGCCTCTGGTAAACTTACATTTATACCTAATAGAACAAAAATCCAACAGAAATATAAACACATCAATCAATGATATATAACTGATAGTTTGTATATATGTGTTGATAGCATCTAATATTCTCATTATTTAATCTTTGTTGTTTTTTTCTCTCTCAATTTATTACTTCATAATTAAAAAAAAAAAGAAAAGAGAAATAAAGAAATTATAATTGATAAAAAAAAATGATAGCAACCTTGCTGGATGACCTTGTTGGCTTATTTTCACTGTCTCTATAATTCCATTGGCTTTCAGCTGAGACATCATATAGAGACGATCAAACTTATTAGGAGTATTTTCACTATTTGGCTTCAGGCAGCGTACATAGTGAACATTAGCAGCATTTAAGGAAGACATAAGTTGGTCAAGGGAGCTCTGGAAAATAATTTTATGAAAAAAAGTTTTCTTTTAATTTGATAGAATCTAAGGAGCAAAATGTTGAAAAAATGATTATAGACTTGACAAAAAAAGAATTGATGATGTGTGCAAAATATTGATTTAGTTCAAAAGTTTGTTCTATCTTTGTTTTTATAAACATTTAATTGAAACATCATTACAAAATATTGCTTTTCATTGTGTCATTTGGTATATTAACATTTAAAAAACAAAATTTATTAAAATTGGCTGATTTTTGTTTCTTATATTCAACAACCTTCCCAATGTCATAAATTCACAACTCCTGTCTCAGCAGCAAGTCTGACAAAATCAAACTGGAAACTGTTCTCAAAAAGGACCTACAATCAATGATTAACTGGCTTGTAAATTTTAATACCTCTTAAAACAAAACTGCTTTCCTTTAATCCCCATAGAGAACCTTTTCTGCCTGGTTGAAGCTAACCTCTAGGAGAACAACTATTTGCACTTTCTTGGGCTTACATTTTCCACTAACATGAAGTGGAGTGATTATATTGAATCAATTGCTAGGTCTACTGCTAGGAAAGTTGGTTCACTGTGTCATGTTAGACAATTTTTCTTGTCAGAATTCATTTTGTAAATTTATAAATGTACCATTCATTGAATATTGTTGCCATATTGGGTCTGGTGCTCCTACTATATATCCCAAGATTCTTGGCAATATCCAAAGATAGGTCTGTAATATTATCAGTCCTGATCTGGCATCTTGACTTCAAACACTTTCTCACTGCCATACTATGACTCCCCTCTGTCTTTTCTACAAATGTTTTCATGGTAATTGTTTTGATGAGCTTTCCTTCTTGGTGTCCCAACAGCATGATGTTAAGCATACTACTAGATAGACAACTATGTCCTATTGTTTTTCTGTTGAACTAGCTTGATTCAACTATATATTTTTTTATAATAGTTTATTTTCTCACACTTCTCCCCTGTGGAAATCTCTTCCAGTTTCTTGTTTCCCTAGCACCTACAATTTAAACACAATGCCAATTACCATCTTCTGTCTTCCTGTTCTTTTATTGTCCCTTCTCCTCAGTAAAGTTTTCTCATTCTTTTTCATTCCCAGTAATCTCCTGCATCTTAGTAGCATTATCACCTTGCTTGCAGTGAAATAGTTAAGAAGAAAAAACAAGATAAATAAATAACAAACCACCCGCACAAACCAAACCCATCTATAAGTGTAGAGTAAAGAACAAATGTCCCTTAAGTGTCAATTGCTTGCAAAACAATATAATATATCAAGCCACTGTAAAATCAGCAGATATCAGAAAAGCTACATACACAAAACGTCCTTTACAAATAATAAATACGCAAAAAACACAATGCTTTCTAAACATATTTGAATTATTATCTTCTTATGAAGATAATAATTCACATATCAATAAACTGAATGACTATTGAGAGCATTCCAATATAACTATAGAATATGCATGGATGTGAAATAGAACATATCTAATTAAAAAGAAATAAAATAAATTGTACTAAAACAGGAGGAGACTTAAAAGTAGTATTAAGACATCTGTTTACACTCTTTTCCATTTTTTTTATTTGCAATATGAAAAGTCTATAATGAAATTATCAAATTAATATTAATGAGGATTTCAGTATTCTAAGAGACACTCAGTAAATTTAAATCAAAGGAAAACCAACACATTCCCGTTCTACAGGATCAGTGAAAAAAAAAAACAAAAAAAAAAAAAACAATCACAAAAAATATGTAGGTACATTAATAAGTTCATAACCTAATGATCAAATAAACAATTATTTTACACCACAAATATTTTTCAACATAGTCTCCTTCCTTGTCAATACACTTAAAACAAATACTTCTCCATAGATTATGTAGATTGAACATTATAGAATAAAAATTTTAGATAAAAATTCTAAGAACTTTCATACACTGCAGACTTATTTATTCACCCACAAATATTTATGATCTTCATCTGTTACAAATATTAAATTGCATCATAATTGATATGAATTTAAAAGCAATTCAAAACAACAGAAAGACGAGATGGCGATAACCTTAAGAAACTGAGCTGAACGACACTATTGGTGTCTCCCTCATAACCCCTGCTTCCCAAAATACAGCAGAATTTATAAAAGAAAATGAATGTTTCATTTGCATACAATAAATTTATATACAAAACACCAAAGAAGGGTTAATTTCATAACATGCATCGCAACAATTGTTGACAAAATAAATCTGTGCAGTACTACCTTGAATTTTGTCAAAACAGTTTTCTTCTTTTTCCCTGGTAGTTCCTCTAATGCTCTTTCTAAATCGATGTTAGAGATGTCCATTATCTGCTTCACAAAATCAAAGTGACTTGACAACAAGAGGCTTTCCAGTTCAGCAGGTATATTATCCTAGGTGTTTAAAAAAAAAAAAAAAAAAAAAGAAAGAAAAAAAAGTTATCATTAAAACAAAAAAGAAAAATCACAAACACTGACTAAAATAGGTATGTGTGGGTGTATATATAATGTATAATTAATCAACAAAAAATTATTCAAACATGTTTTATTAAAATCAACTGACAAATGTGGCAGTCACCATCTCACCCTTTTCATTTTAGTTGTGTATGAATAATGTTTCATGGCTGGAGTAGTTACACTAAATAAATGAAAGTGAATATAGGAATAAAAAAAAATGAGAAAACTACCAAAATCAATGAAATAGTTGATTAAAATGTATAAAAAAAAAATGCTAGATTAAAGCTTTGAGATTGGAATTTGTGAGAATCAAAACCCATATTCTTAATTTAAAAGTAGGTACCTCCACTAATTTGTGATACCTAAGGTTTAAAATGAATTTTTATAAATGAAAAAGCTTTCTTGGAGCTTTCAATTTAGCTTTAATTGAAAGCTAAAGGATTAAATTTACTATTTCCAGTAAGCAAAATACTCTGGTGTATTTCAAACAGATATTATATTAATTGAAATCGAGATTTTTTTCCATTTTTTTTTTTTTTTTCCTAAAATAGCTGAAAGACGACTAAAAAAGGGCACTAATCAGCTGTTTTTATTAAGTTTCGAGCCTTTTCTCATCATGCTATGCCGTTTTCACAGCTGGTGTGGTAGCATTCACAAGTTGTCATTCCTGAGAAGCAATGAGGCTTACAACAAGTAAATATAATACAACAGAGTCCACAACAATATCTGTTTAGTTATTCATTGCATTTTCCCAGTTTATGTATAAATTGTTGCACATTGGTTGAAATTTATGGGGAAACTGGACGAGAGACGACCGCTTCACTTGATCTCATGTGACTTCTTGCCTGAAGAAAACCTCCGACATAAGCTTTATGCTAGAAGCCTTGTTCAGACTTAGCTAAACAAACAGAATTGTCGCACTGAACTTACAATATTTTCTGCCTGAAGAACTAATAATTTTTTTTAGTATCAAAAATTAACCAAGCTCTGTACAAAGAAAGTATATAAAAACATTTTCTTTTTTTTTTACTTGTGACTTCACTTGGCCAGGACCAAACCAGTGTTGATGATTTGATCCTTGCCAGCCTTATGATCAAAATCAAACACAATGTAGGATAAGGCAAAGCTTGGATTGAAGCGATCAACTCAATGATCAGCCACAGGGATTGGGCATCAGATGGACTGGCAAAGAAGAAGGCTACAGTATACTTTAGTATTATCCACTAATATGTCTTATTAAAATAGTCATACATCTTTGTGATGCTCTATATGAGACCAAACTGCACTAAGTGGCAAATTAACCTAGGAGATTTTGAGATGGTTGTATGACCAATGTAAGAATTTAATGTTAGATTTTTATTATTACCAAGAATTCATAAATATTGATTTTTGACAATGACTAGCGATGGTCAATAGTATGAATGTTGAACTGTTTCTCCACAATTTTGATCCAGTCGTATGACTAATTATATACAAACTGGAAGAATGCAATAGGAAAGATTAAACAGACATATCTTATCGATTGATTTTAATGAAACTAGTATGCACGTGAACAAGCTAGGATCAAGAAAATTTATTATAATGAATATGATATATATTTCTTACAGTTAGAACTTGTTTAAATCCTCATAAACACTAATCAAATTGTTTATATTATTTTTATTATTTACATATATTGTAATTAGTTTTATATAAGCAGGTACTAAAAACATCCAAGTCAATTAAAATGGTTAGGGTTTATAGTACTTTTAGTTCTGACAATGCTAAAAAGAAATCTTTGTAAATGGTAAAATATTGTATGTTTTTTTTTTAGTATAAAGAAGAGTTTTTTTTAAATCCAATTAAGTAAATTTATTTATTTGAATTTATTTTTTTAATGTTCAATGCTTATATTTTATTTTTTGTAATAATGAAGAAAGACCTTGTTTTTATCAACTAAAGCTGATACTTGATATGTGACATCCCCAGCAAAATGCTTCACTGTAAATTCTGGCCCAGCCTTTTGTCTACTGTGTTTCATATGCGAAGAAAATATCTGTTTTGATAGGAAGCTTCTACTGTTGACGGGTCTCTGATTGGAAAGTAGCAGTGGATCATTCCTGGCAGGAGATGTAAGGTTTCCATTTTGAACATCACCTCCCAAAATTCCTTGGGTCAACTTGACAATACGTTCACCAAGCATCTTAGTATCTATGAGTCGATTTAAGTAAACCTCCTAAAAATACAAAAGGAAATTGAACCTAGTTTGTGAAAATGATTGAAAAATAAATAAAAATTAGTGGTTAGTTTATTTCAAATACACAAATTAGTGGTTAGTTTATTTCAAATATACAAATATAGTCTATAAATATTTATTTACACATAAATCTATATGGAATACATGAATAGATTCTGAGATAATACTCAGAGTAGCACAAATAGACTGAAATGCTTTAATAAAAAATCAAATTGAAAAAATGTTTTTAGAAAATTCAGTGTTTTGCATTGAGAATGGCAAAGTATGTCAGGAGGCAAAAATTACTGAACAGTGATAAGAAAAAGTCTGAGATATTCAATAATACTCGGACATTTTACAACTCATGTACATTATAGTTCTTTTATATTAAAACTATGCATATCAAAGCAATATATATTGCAGATGCAAGAAAAGTGCATCGATTTTAATATTAATACAAAAGTAGAACATTCTATTCATATGAGAATCTAATTTCCAAACCCTTTAACTTATTTTTTTTTTTTTTATTAAAATACTTTTGTTTAAAAATTTTAAAATTAAAATATATTGCTGGAATTACTATCATGTAACATTCTTTTTATGTTGACTTTTCAGGACATATGCACAAAGACAACCAAATTCCAGAAATGCACCTGAATATATTTTAAAATACATACAAAGATATAATAAATAGAAGAAAAATTTTCTCTCCTTTGTTTCATTTCCATCTATCCATCCCTCAGCTCAAACTGCAGTTGGGATCATAGTGTCATTATGAAACTCATGATCCTTTAGTTGGCTGCATATGTGCTTCATCAGTTTTGAATTCAGTTGTTCCTTCTCCTAGACTGGTTGCCAACCATGGTTAGAGAGCACAGTCTGTCTTACTATTTAACTCATAGCTGAAGGGAGAAGAGGAGTCATACCTTTCCCAAGGGTATTTGTATGAAAGTGAATATATCTAACTTGACTGGGATTTGAACGTAGCTTGCCAATTTCTCATTCCAAGCCATTATCCATTGCACCACCTGCACATCCCAAATTCATATTCTGTATTTATATTTCTTTAAAACAGATGGCTGGCTATTCTTTTGGCTATTTTTTTTTATTTTTTGATTATTTCTAATGCCCCTTGGACTTGCTATTAGCTATTTCTTTTCTCTTATTTTATGTCACTCTTCTTTTCCAATGGTTTTACACTTACTTTTCAATATTGATACTGAAAAATGTTAGTTTTAGCTTTCTGCTCAGAATACTTTGTCAATAAATAACATTTTTTTTATCAAAATAAACTACAATACATTTCTATATATTAAAGATTTGCTAAAATGAAATCATCACTTAGTAATTAGACATTTTTATGTGAATACTGAATATTAATGCTAATATATAATTAATATACAGTAAACAGAAGTGAGCACTTGTTAGAAAAGAAGAGGAATGCTTTTGATATAAGAAATACAAGTAGAACATTTTGATTTATCACTAAATAGGTAAGTTAAAGGTCAAATCATTTTAACTAACCTCATTCAAGATGCTGAATATTCCAGGGATGCCATCCAAATTATCGATACATGATTGGTTATCAGAAAAATCAGTATATATCCATCCAATATTTTCTTGAATGTATTCTTCCTAATAAAATAAATATATTAATAATCATGATAATACAATAATCATAATAATATTAATAATTATGACAGTAATTGAGATATTTGGTACAATGAATAAAAGGAAGAAAAATCATCTTGAATAAACAACACACATGAACTTCCAATAAAGTCTTACTGTCATAGAGATAAGACTAATTTTATAAATGTTTGTAATTCATCAAACAGGTAATCTGATCTTTAGGTTGGTGATTAATGGATTAATTGATGAGCAAGTAAAGATCAATAACTTCAATCTTCAATTAATAGAAACATGAATTATAGCAAAGATAGTTCACAGAACAAAAACATTTAATAAACTAAACTGTTTTTAGCACATATATTGTGAAAACAAAAATAGTGACTTAGTTATGATGAAAATTTCTATATATTAAAGATTTGCTAAAATGAAAAAAGCAAACCTAGACTTTCTTTCTAGCTCTCTTTCATGAAAAATCTGGCAGCTCATGCAAGTTTTCTTTGGCCAATTGTGGGTATCTTGGGTGTATATAAGCAATGATTTATTGAGAGATGGAAGTGGGTTTTTTTTTAAAAGATGCGATTCAGTAGCTGACTGGTGCATGCAAATTTTTAGACTTTAACTATCTTTCTGGTAAAACATATTTTCATTTGTCAAAGTTTTATTATAAACACATACACATATATAAGTGGACACTATAGCATACCTTAAAACTATATTTTATTATATATATATAAAATGTTAATTTTAAAATATATATATATATATATATATATATATATATATATATATATATATAATTTAAAATTAACTATATATATATATATATATATAATTTAAAATTAACTATATATATATATATATATATATATATATATAATTTAAAATTATATATATATATATATATATATATATATATATATATATATATATATATATATATATATATATATATATATATATAATTTAAAATTAATATATATATATATATATATATATATATATAATTTAAAATTAACTATATATATATATATATATATATATATATATAAATTTAATTATATATATATATATATATATATATATATATATAATTTAAAAATTATATATATATATATATATATATATATATATATATATATATATATATATGTATGTATGTTAATTTTAAATTTTCTTGTTCCCAGACATTTTTATAAATTTATGAATTTAAAAAATTGATTTCATAGATATTTCTTTATATGGTAAATGATAAACAAACATTGCAATTGATTTGCATATTTTTATAATCTTGTAAATACAAAATTATTATTGAAAATAAACAATCTAATAAAATAAATAGTCTTTAATTCTTTTATTGTCTGTTCTTGAAGGAAAAAATGCATAAATCCAGTTTCATAAGTTTGAGTTCTTTTAAAAATTCTAAAATAGCTTTTTAAACCAAACATTATCGAGTGAGTATACAGTACAGTGTTAAGAGAAAAACTGTCCTTTTGACACATCCCCCTGTTCTTTTGTGAGGTGAATGCTAAACTTTGGTTAAAGTTTTAAAATAAGTTTGATTGAAACACTGAGTAAAAATGCAGTAAAATGTGAATTTAAAATAAAAAGTTAACAAACCTGCAAATTTTTTAGGAAGTGTTTAACAAAGTGTTGTTGCAATCGCTCATTTGCATAATTTATGCATAACTGTTCCAAACTGTTCTGTTCAAAACATTCAAATCCATAAATATCCAGCAGGCCTAAAATAAAAGAAAATGATAAAAAGCAAAATGATATGAAAATTAAGATTTTTTGCTTTTTACATTTGAAATAACTTTGGCTTATTTAATTGAAGTAAATTTAAAATTTATTTATTTTATTGACTTTGGCCTTGCTATATTTTATGTTTTCATTGAAAAAAGTGTAATTTAGGAAATTTGGTCTTTTTACTTGCAAATATATATTAACTTTAAATGAAATATGTTAAATTATAACATTTTTCATTTAAAAGTTACTTAATTTAATATTCTTCTATTATTAAAAAAAAAGAAGCAAATGATCAACTTTACTTTTGTGTAATCTGTACTTGTTTCTAAGAAATGAAAAAGTATGTTGAATTTATGGGTCTTATAACAAAATGTAACATTCTAATTTTATTTGATTTAAAGAAATAATTTATTAATCTGATTTTTTAAAGTATTTTTTATTACAAATGTTACAAAGTCTCTCCCAAGAAAATTAATTTTAATAATGTTTTGTAATGTTTAATTTTTAACAGACTTTTCTTCGATTTTGTTTTTACGCTGCAAAATTTAAAAATGCTATTATTTCTTACATAAAGTTAATTTAATATTTTTTCTCTATGATATTGTTATTCATAACAAATATATTGATGAAAAAATCTAATTTTTATGAATAATTTGTTTTTCTAAAAGTTATTTTAAAAAACAAGCATGTTTAATTTTAGTTTACCATTAAAACATAAAATAGGTGCATATGTGATATTTTATTCTACAAAATTAGTGAAAAATCATTTAAGAATGTTGTTATGCAAATTTAATGTCATAATTCAATTCAATAAAGTTAATCTGATATTTTTAGATATTGTAAAAGAGATGTATAAAATGTTAACCCTAACCCTGATGCTAAACCATGCATTATTAAGAGTCATTTTTTTTCTAGGTACTCTATAATTATTAAAAAAAAAGAAAAGAAAAAAAAAAAGTATATTTATGACAAAATATGTCAGTATAACAAGAGCTACTTTATTTCTAAACAATAAAATGTTACTTTGTTATTTTTGTTCCAGAATTCATATTTCTGGTTTGGTTTTTGTTTCATTAAAACTGTTTTAACATGAATAATTAATTCAAAAACTAAAATACATATAACATTTCATACACAGAGTAGAAAGTGATGGATTTGAAGCTCTGACAAATTATATATTTTTGAGTCAAATTAATTATGCTCTTAATTTGTAATTTTTCTTTGCATTTCTTAATCCAATTATAGGAGAAAACTACTGCAAACCCAAACTAAAAATCTTTACACCTAGTGAAACAATCAAATTTAAAATAAGCCTCTAGTACTCTGTGTGGCGGCCAGTCTGTAACATTGTTGTTATGTTGCCGAGGTCATGGTGACAGTAACAGCAGTACCCTGCATGACGGCTGGCAACTGCATCGAGCCACGACTGTGTCCTGGGCATCCTTCGAGCCTGCTTTTAAGTGGGTCTGATGGTGGCTCCTGAGGGCATCTCTTTTACTGGCAGAAACTTTCGCAATTGGCGACTGCTGGAGCTCACTTTGTAGAATGGATGTGGTGTGTGGAGCCTAATGTTCAGAAAATGACTTTTTGTTATTTCATTTTCTACCTTCAAGGTGTTCACATCTGGTCAGTGTGCAGAATGAATCAGAATGAGATCTAAATTGCAACAGAGTGTAACACTAGCATTATTATTTCATTTCTACCCTTTTTTCTTTTTATTGTAAAGTTTGTTAATTCTGTTTGTTGGACAGTTCTGTTCTTTATTTTGCATTTGACTGCGTCTACTAACTCAAATGCCTTTTAAGCTTTTTACATGCAATGTTCTCAACTGTAACTCAAGCTTGATCAGACACAGCAGTTAATGATTACCATTTAACTAACAGATTAAATGATGTCAATGTTTCAGTTATATCCAGAACAAAGTTGTCTGGAAAGTAAAACAGAATAAGTTGTTGAAATTCAAGAAAGTTAATAATATTGAGAAATCCTCTATATTGACATCATTTTCAAAAAACGTACAGAGAAGATATTTGCTATCTTTGATTATCAATGGTAATGGAGGCAACATATACCCTATACATTATGTTACAGCTGGCGACACAAAAATAAGATGAAACAGATTCTTAGAAATTTAAGTTGAAGGAAAAGATTACATGTAATAATGAAAAGTGGGTTTTATTTAACATATAATACAATAATTTTTATAAACAGTCAAGCTGAGGTTTAAACAATATACGTTGGGAAATGCTAACAAGTTAATAAGCGAATGAGAGCCCAGAAAGTAGTTGGCTTAATGTGTAGCTATATGAGGGAGTGGGAGAGGAAATCCTTATACAGTTGAAATTAAGGCAACGGATGGGAATTTGTCGCTAGTCAAAGAATATTATTATTATTTTCTTCTTGAACAATAGTTAGATATTCACATGTATATAAAATAAAGGAATTTGGTCAATAATATCAAGGAATAAAAGGGGAAGTATTTACCGATAGCCTTTTCTTTTGATGACTGTTGGAACTTAGATTCTTTCGGTTGAAGCTTTGTTCATGAATCAAACAGACAGGAGTCGACCTCAGTAGTTGTGGCTGTGGGTTCAGGAGGCAAACTCACTAGTTAGTACTAACTCCTGTTTATATATGTTTTTTGTACCCTCTAGAACCCAGTAGAAGTTTCTAGAGACTTCTAGAAAGTTCTACTCTATTATTATGAAATCTAAAGTGTTTGGTGAATGGGAATTTTTCGTAAGGTAAAAAGGGCATCTAGTAGCTAGAGATTTAAGTCATCATTTTAAGCTCAATTTTGTATTTTATAGTGTAAGTATAAAGAGGTAGGGCAAAATGGGGCCTCGTAAGAATAGACAATTTTAGAAAATAAAGAAGATCAAGAGAAGCTAGCCTTTCACACTCTGACTTCTTACTTCATTTTCCAGCTTCCCATTGACAACATGGTCACCTAGTCTCATGACAAACCATAAAAAAAAAACCCTCTTGATTTGATTCTTCTTTCATACCAAAAATTACTCACTGCCATCTGGTTGTTACTAATAGAATCCTACTATTTTAACTTAGAGTGGTGATCTACCACAATATTGTTTCTTGTCAGTTCTAGATACATATTCTCAGTTTTTCAATACATCATTCACCTCACCTCTCAGTTCTTAGTAAGTAAGTTTTATTACTCCTTTAACCCTTTTTTCTTTTGAAACAAATGAAGCTTTATTTAATATTTTTTCTTTTGGATCATTATGCAGAGCTAGTTTTAGCTGCTTGTTTCTGTTCTGAGTATAGTATACTCTCTTTTAATCATCTAACCATTTTGCCTTCCATTAGCATGGCTGATGCTAACCTCCAGAAGATTAACTCATTGCAACTTTTCGGGCTAATGGTTTTCACTGACATGAAGTGGAAAGATCATATCAAATCAATTGCTAGGCCTGCTGCAAGGGAAGTTAGCTCACTATGTCATGCTAGACAATTTTTCTTGCCAAATCTATCTTACACATTTATAAGTGTTATAAACATGTGTATGGTAGCATGAGAGAACAGTACTCAAAAAAAGAAAAAAAAAAAAAAAAGAAAAAAAAAAAAAAAAAAAAAAAAAAAAAAAAGAAAAAAAGAAAAAAAAAAAAGAAAAAAAAAAAGAAAAAAAAAGAAAAAAGAAAAAAAAAAAAAAAAAAAAAAAAAAAAAAAAAAAGAAAAAAAAAAAGAAAAAAAGAAAAAAAAAAAAAAAAAGAAAAAAAGAAAAAAAAAAAAAAAAAAAAAAGAAAAAAGAAGAAAAAAAAAAAGAAGAAAAAAAAAAAAAAGAAGAAAAAAAAAAAGAAGAAAAGAAAAAAAAGAAGAAAAAGAAAAAAGAAGAAAAAAAAAAAGAAGAAAAAAAAAAAAAAGAAAAAAAAAAGAAGAAAAAGAAAAAAGAAGAAGAAGAAAAAGAAGAAGAAGAAAAAGAAGTAGAAAAAAAAGAAGAAAAAAAGAAAGAAATTGTAAATATAAAATTCTTTCATTTGGGGTTTCACTATTTGCCCATACTTGGGTCAGGGTGGACCTGTAAACAAAACAGCAATTAAGAGATGTTTCCATGCTCCTTGAAACCTTCATTCTCTAGATCAGAGGCCTTGCTGCCAGAGCGAGGAATGAAATTATTAGAATAGAACATAGAGTTGCATTTAGCTAGTTCAACAGTAAAATGATGAGACCTGATTACTAATCTAGTAGCACACTTAACTTCATACAGTTGAGGTACAAAAGTGGAAAGCTCATCAGAACAATTGCCATGATAATATAGGTAGAAATATCAGGAGTTCCCATCACTTTGGTGAGAAAGTGATTGAAGTTAAGATACCAGGTCAGGAAGAATTACATTATAAACCCATCTTTGAATTTTGTCAAGAATCTTGAGATATATATAATAGAGGCCCCAAAGCAGATATGCTAGCAATATTCAATGCACAGATGAAAGGTACAGTTATAAATTGTCGGACATCTAGCAATAGATGTAGCAATTGATTCAATATAATCACTCCACTTCATGTTCGTGGAAAATATGAGTCCAAGAAGATACAGAGAAGGTTAGCATCAGCCATGTTGATGGCAAGCAGAAAATGTTCTCTATGGTGATTAAATGAAAGTAGTTTTGATTTGGAGGTGTCAAAATTTACAAGCTATTCTTTACCCTAGTTAACTAATGATTGTAGGTTCTTTTTGAGAGCAATTACCAGGTTTACTTTGTTGGACTTACTACTAAGACAGGAGTAAATAGTTCCATCATTTGCATAAATACCTAGTTAAGATCAGGAAGGTTGCTGATGAAAATAAGAAACAATGTAGGTCCAAGTATAGACAACTGCATTAATGTAAAATGAACTAAAAGCATGTCTGTTCAGCACAACCTTTATTACATGATTTGTTAAGAATGATTGGATTAAGCCAAAGGCCAGCATGCCACCATTGAGCCTCACCATTCTTATTTAAAGTCTGATATACAAATTCAGTGATAGCTGTTAACATAGAGTTGGTAGACCTGGAGAAACAGAAGCCATTGTTTATCTGAAAGGAGGCTGTGTGAAGTGATGTGTTTAACCAATTCAGTGATGATTAGAACCTCTAGTGCTTTGTAAAAAGAGGTAAGAAACTAAAGTTGGAAAGGAAGAATCAACGAGACATTTATTGTAAAGTTTATAGAGAACAGGATCCAGTTCAGGAGCATATTTCTTTAGGGGCAATTGCAGGGATACCGTCAAATCTACAAGGTTTGTGGAGATTTAGTTTAGAAATGATAGAAATCATGGATAGTTATGTGCATATCAGTCAGTATGTTCTTGGGGGAAAAATCAGGCAAAGATACTAATGATGAGTTGAAAGTAGAGTTGAATGAGAATTCTGCATTATCGGCAGCAGATGGCAATACTACAAATTGATTGAAAAGAGGAAGGACTGAGTATTTGCTCTTTTTCCATACACTCTTATAGAGCTGTCAGTAATCTCTAGAACCAAGGTTATACAGTGTCTCATTCTATTGCTTACACTCATTATGAGTGGTTACAAAGCGACATCTATTGCTATAGGACATGTTGTATTGGTATTGCCAGAAGAAGTAATTCCTGCAGGTTATAGTGGCTGAACAAGCAGGAGGGAAACCAAAGCGAAGATTGGGTTTCACTTTTTGTGCTTTGATGCCAGCTTTCACCCAGAGAGAGACCTCAGTTGCACATTTCTCAACCAGATGATTCCAAGGGGTATTGCAAATACAATCATGAAATGAGTCCCAATAGAGTGCATTGATAACAGAAAGATGTTCTTTTAATAGGGGGTTCTTGCCTAATAGGTGAATGGAAAGAGATATCTACAGACATTACTGTGTGATTGGAGTTGCAAAGAGGACAAAGCTGCAGAGTACAACATGAGTTGGGGGAGGAGGTAAGGAAGAGATCAAGTAGAGAAACATGTCTGGCAGAATTACTAGGAAAATGTGTGGGTAAGTCTACTATTTGAGTGAGAGATTGAAAAGTTCAAAGTCTGAATGTCAGCAAGATTAGTAGCATTGAAGTGATGAAGTCATGTGACATGATGGGCATGGAAGTTGCTAAGCACAAAGATATTTGAAGATGAATATAGAGAGAGAGCTTTATCTATACTATCAGAATTTCTATCTAACAAGCAACAGTCTTGAGAGGAAGGAGAATGATAAATACTAGCATGATTTCTCAGTTTGCAGGATATGTATTAAGTTACAACCTGCTTTATTTTTGTCTGCCAGCTGGACGCTAGTTGGAACTCTTACGCCGGTAAGTGCTTTATTATTATTGTTATTCTACAATGATAAAAAAAGAAGAAATAACAAACTGAGTTTAATAGTGTCAATTGAAAGCACTTACAGAACAATCCAGAGACACAAGAGACAGTTCCCTTGACACTGAGAGATGCTTGCAAACATAGAAATCAAGGCCATGCATATAGATACTAGAATCCCTTCAAAAGAAAAGGAGATTGCCAAGAATAGAAAGTTCAGATTGAAGTGTTTAGATTAGTTTCACAGAGAGCTAGGATGTCTGGGGAACAGTCCAAGAGAAATGATTCTGCACTGCAGAAATTGGTATGAATACCACAATGCTGGAGAAAGAAAGGTTGAGATGTTTAGGTGTTTTTTGCAAGCTGATTTAACAAGATTTATCTCATTCTCAAATATCAGTTTGTAAAATGAAACTATTGTCTAAAAAAAAAAAAAAAAACCCAGTGATTCCTGTGAAAACTTTTTTCTGACAGTGAAATATAGTTTATTGTTGCCTATCGTACATGGCAGCAGTATGCCTTGCAAAAAGAAATCTCTGCCAACAGAGGACCAGATTGCAATCAAAATAGCCAAGGCTACAGTGAAGAAAAGCATGTCTTGTACAACTGAAGACCCAGATCAAATGGCTGCCAGTAGAGCTTCCAATGTGGAGAATATACAAAGGCTTAGGGACTCACAAGCTTCTGAACAATCTGAAAGTCCAATCAAAAGCCCTCCACAGCAACTAGCTTAAATGTGGCCCAATAGGGAGGCTTTTAAGCTAGGTATTATTATGTGACATCTTTTGGCAACAAAGATGAAATAAGATTGCAATAAGACAGCCATGAATAACCACATGCAGGAACATTTTGAATGCTATGAACTGACTACTTTAGGAACACATTGGACAAGATGGCTGGTGTTATTTGAGCTTTATGCTGACAGCCTTGGTTTAATTGTTGAAGAGAACTTGCTGGATGCCAGAAAACAGAAATGAATGGCCTTGTTGCTTCATACAGTAGGACCAGATGTCCAAATTATTTTGGCTACATTGCCTAATACAGGAAAAGCCACTAACTGTTTTGCAGTGATAAGTGCACTCAAGGACACATGGCCCAGTGGATAAAAGTGTTGGTTAAGTCCAGTGACTTGACTCAAAGAGTTGTGAGTTCAATACCTGGCTACAGCTGAGGTGGAAAAACAAAACAAAAAAACTTGGAGAGTTGAGTAAAAGGGAGATAAATGATACTGAGACATCTGGAAGAAGCATGGCATGTGGAACTAGAACAATCTATCCCAGTGGATGAAATAAAGGGTTCAGTTCAAAATGCCAATCACCTGAAGAAGGTCAGAGCATACAATGGCTGAAACATTGTGCATATGGCATCAAAGATGAGGACAACAGTCTGAACAATGTAAATAGTGTAAATAATTACAATACCTCAGCTCAGAAATATAGACCGATTCTTCCTGATTTTTCGTCAATGGACATGATGGCTAAGCTAGAAGTTGAGTCATTAATTGAAATAGTCAGCCAAGTTGGGCCCTTCATTGAAGTTATCTTAGAAGAGGAAAATAGAGAGATGGAGTAATTGTTTTGAGTTAGAATTATAGGTAGCAAAATTATAGCCCCCCCACTTCCACCTCCCAAATTTGAGGGTGCCAAGATAAATGCAGAGAAGTTCTTTGAAAATATATTTTTTGAGGGATACAGGTCACAACTAAAAAAACTTCACATTCTGCAAAAATTACTGTTACCCACCTTGCAAAAAAAAAGTTTCAAAGATACCAAATTAATGGAATGGATCACAGCTTCTATAGATATTAAGCCAATAGAAAACATGGCATATCCTTAAAAGAGACACATATAAGAATAGAAAACAGTATTCAAGCAAAGATCTGTGGAAAACAGTAAAAACTGCTGCAAGTAATGTTAAAGTTAAAACGATAGAAGAGTTAACAAAGTCAATGGAAGTGAGAAGTGATAAAATTTATAGAATGTCAAGGAGCATAATTAACATGTAAAATAATAATTTATTTAGGTATATGTATATCTTTGGGATTTACAATTTACACTGCACTTAGTTTGCACAAATTCTAAAATAGCAAATACCCAAACCAATTCAAAGAGATCAAGTCCAACATTTGTTTACAGTTGGAATGACACTTGGTTCAAATAGGCTTCCAATTTTCAGCTGACATTCAAACTTGTCATTATAAAAGAATTTTCCTTCTATCAACTAGTGTCTGATATTCTTTTAAGCTTAGCTTTTATGATACAAATATGTTATTGCAGATACTTCAAAGATTGCTTTGTTCAAATTTTAACTTTATTCAGCAGACAAAAGCTCTTACAATCAACTTTGGGACCAACATGCTGATCTTGTAGATTTACTCTTTTGAAATGATATGTGTGGTTTTTATGCTGTTAGTTTCACACGCACACTTCGTTAATAAAATATGACTTACCAATAATTTCTTTGCCAGATTCTGTTTGGAATTGACTATTGATGAATTTCACTAGCCAATCAAATAATCTGAAAATAGATTTTTAGATATTAAAAAATAAAGAAAGTAATCTAAAATCTTTTGAAAAATAAGACTTAAATTTTAAAATAAATCAAATTTTTTATTAGAATTTCTCAAATTATATGCTTTCTTATTCAGACCAGCATACTCATTTTTCTAACAACATTTTATACCCATCAACCTTCTTTAGTAACTTTCTTGGAATTTTGAACTGAGCTCTTTATTCAAACCACTTTCCATACTTTCATATCAATTTTCTTTGGGAAGCTTGTCTGTTTTTTTTTCTACTGAAGCACAGTATGTTACTTTTCAGCACTATCAAATGAAGAGATTGAACTCACAACTGTTAGGAAACCAGATTTGTTTTAAACAATCTCTTAGGTTATATGTCTCTTGAATAATCCAATGGTGAAATCTTGTATCCTTAAATCTAATGTCTGTACTCAAGTGAATTTGTATCCTAAAAGAAAATATGCTCCAATATTCCAACAGACATGAGATTTAAGGCCAAAATTTCACCACTGACAGAAACAATCAGAACAATTATAAGATAAACAAACTATTAAAAGTAGATTGTTTAATTCATGGAAATAATCAGATAATTTATCAGTTTAGTACATTAAAGACAATTTAATAAGTAATAGTTTCAACATGATCTCTACTGACAGGATCCTGTAGATAGAAAGCTCCTTGTCATTCCCTTCAAAAATCAAAATTTCAAGGCTATTTCTTGACATTTAATAAAATGTTCTTATTAACAATTTTTTTTTTTCACATCATTGTGCTGGTTGAATTTTTAAATTTGTTTCTTGGTTTGGAAGATAGACCAGCACAATTTCTCTATTAGCAAACATTGATAACTCCTCTTAAGTACCTTCTATATGCCTAAAGTTGATACTGAACTGAAAGCATTATATTACATTAATAGGGTAAAAACTCAATCATTTATTATCATTTCTGTCTTTTTAGTTTGTTGTTACTCTGTGGATGATATGGAGACTAAGAAAAATATATATTTAGCTCTTTTTAACTTTTCCTTAATACATCTGATGACATTTTTTATATTATTATGAGTGAGCAAAAAGCTGATTCACGGGAATATTTCACGTAAAATCCAATCCACCACCATCAGGCTACCTTTAAAAAGAAGTTAATGTATTTGTGGTTAGCTGGACAAAACTGACAATTACCATAAAAGTAGGAAGGAAAGAGCTTTATTAACAAGAATAAAATGTGAAATTTTCCGTTCTATTAAAAGGCTAGGAAAATTAAATAATAGTCAAATAGGAAAGTAAAGAATAATGACTTAGTTAAAGTGTCTAGTGTTAAAGAGTAACAAAAGGAAGCTTATGCATATATTTCTATAGATAGGAGATAAAATCTAAGTTTATTTCTCTGTCATTGTAACACCTATGTTGGAATAAATTCTACCCAGAAAGCAAAATTTAAAAAGAACTGAATTTTAAAAACTAAAACAAGAAAATAACCAGCAATTATAATTATTTTTATACTGCAATAAATATAAAACAATTCTTTAAATAACACTAGAAATTTGAGGAAAGTTTATTTTTCTGGAAAAATTTGGACTGTGCCAACAAGAACTTGGCACAAGAAGTTAATATTTTGGAAGAAGAAGAAAAAAATTAAAAAAAAGTAAAATTTTGGTTTTAGCTAAGGAAAATTATACTGGGCGTTATGCGTGTGACATCTACTGGGGACGTTCTGGGTTCGAATCTTAGTCACTGCTACCAATATGTGACCTGGTTGATCAGCAGTTGTTGCTACCTGGTGGGATCCTTTGGTCTGGGTACCAAATGGGATGGTCGGTAGATTCTAATGGCACAAATATTTAACAGCTTCAAACTAGATGCAACCAGTTCGACACCAGCTCCGTCATTCTCAGCTCGCTTCCAATGACTGGTTACTGAAGTAACTACCTTGATCTCACATCTAACTTATCCAGGTTGTGATTTCGATCAGTCACGCACCAGGGCTGTAGTGCAAGGTGAGACTAAACTGGAGGTGACATTGCACAAGCAAAAAGAAGTAAATGAAAACCAAAATTTTTTGAGTATGTTTAGAGAAAGCAAATCAAGTTTTATCAGTCTATTGTATCTAAGAGTGTGTTTTCTTCCCAACTTGTTTCTTCTGAGAGTGACACTTTTACTTCTAGGCAAGTTCTGGTCTTCTAAGTCAACTGGTTTAGTTTTTTAAGTGCTGGGTCAGCTTCGTTTGTCAGTAGAACTTGCTGTTTGTAGGAAGGCAAAGTTAGAGGCAGGAATTGTGGAATCTGTTAGCTCTCTCCAACGGCAAAATGCAAACTCTCTGGCTCCTGTATGGAAACTGCTGACTCAAACTGAACTCAATTGATGAACTGCCCGAGGGCGCTCACTTATACAGACTTTGAACAAAAACTAGTGCAGGGTTAGATGCAGCCTGGGGTTTTCGGTTAATCCCAGATTTCCAACAAGGGTCTCTTTGTTGTCTGGCTAGGAAAATTAATTACTTCCCATTTTTGGAAAAGTAATTACTTCCTATTTCTGGGGGAATCCCTTCGTCCATGAGGAGAGGTTGCAGGATAGCTATCCTCCTAAACTCCCTCCTCTTCACATTAGTACCTCACACCAATTCCTTTTGGGGGGCATTAGTAACTTCTCCGTCTTTCTTACTATTTTACCTCCGGCTATCACCACTGCTACCACATGACCAGTGGTGTCTCAGTCGTGCTGGTGTGGCTAAGCTTGCTTTGTTAATTAACTCTTTGACATCATTGATTATTCAGGATTTCTTATCCAGGCAGTTTTAGAATTATCAACTGGAACTTTGTTTACGTAATTCCCTTTCCTCCCTGACAAAATTCTTATAATTAACACATGGTCCTGTTGCCTTGCCAGTTACTAATATCTATGCATTCTCGAACAATATCTTTGTTGCTTCTGTTTACTTTGTGTTTTCCTAACCAAAACTTTTAACGGACATCATTAATCAATTGTCAGAGACCGCCACATTGCCTTTTCATGAAATTATCATTGACGCAATTCTTCGGTTTCTTGAGAAAAATAAATTTTTGGGGAAAATAAAATAAAATCCTTTTATGTCGAACAGTATATCCTTTGGGATAATTTTTAACCCTTCTTTTCTGTTTTCAGCATTTTCCCCCGTTCAATTTTTATGGTTAGTTAGTCAATTAATTACCATTGCTAAATAGTGTCACATGTGAACAACAAGAAGTATTAAATCAATGTGATAATTTAGTTTATGGATCAAGAAAGAAGGCATGACACAACTTTATAAGAAAAAGTGCATTGAATAGGTGAAAGAGAACATCACTTGAGACACTGAAAAATGGGCTGATGTGGTATTTTCTGATGAAAAGGTTGTCCAGATAGGATACAATGTTACTGACATAAATTATGTAAAGAATGGATATTCACAAAGAGGTCATTCTTCACACTATTTACATTATTTGGACTATTGTGAGGACACATGGCACAATGGATGAAGGCATTAGTTACATCCAGAGACAGGACCCAAAGAGCTGTGAGTTCAATACCTGGTTAAGGCAGTGGAGAACTTGGAGAGGTGAATTAACAGGAGATAACTGACATCCATTAGTCATGGCATGTGGAACTACAACAGTCTATCCCAGCGAGCAAAATAAACATTTCAACCACCTGAAGAAGGCTGGAGCATACAATGGCTGAAACGTTGTGATAAATATGGCATAGTGTACATGATACCTCATCTCAGAAATATAGACAGATACTGAGGTGATTCTTCATTACATAAATTGGGAAGCCTTTTCGGTAAATGGAAAGGCCTAATTAGTAGTAATGAAGGGCCACAAAATGCAACAATGTATGTTCAAATCTTAAAATATTTTTGTTGACTTTCATCACAACCATAAATTCCAATAACTTGGTAGATTCCTACAAAAAGAAAATATTACTGTTGCTTTTCAGTTGTCTACCCTTTGAGTGAAAATCTAATCTTAAATTTTAAATCAACAGGAAGACAACACTGTCACTGGAAATGTCCATGACAGCCAGTGTTGTAGAAAATATAAACAAATAATCATTATAACAAATGTATGCACATATACTATATATGTTCAAGTCGTCTGAAGATCAGATCACATGAGCATGAAACTCAGGTTATGACTATGGACATCCTTTCATAGGAATTAACGTCGTCAAGAATTTTTGCTCTGTCTAAGTAATCTAGGCATTGAGCACTTTACTGAGTAGATAGGCCTTTTTCTTATTGCTGTTCTTGTTTGAGATTCTATCTTGTTTAATGGTATTTAGGTCTTTTGGCAAGCTGACTATTGGTAGAACCAACTGTTTTGTTTTTTCTTTAATATAAAAACCTATTTTAAATGAGGATATTAATGCTGGTGATTAACATCTGTTCGGTGAACTTTCTCTTAGGAAAGGAAGATAGAGCATTTAAAAACAAAAATGATGTAGAAACCTTCCTAATAGATTGAGAATAATACAAATCTGGGATACTACCCAACATCAAGAGATATGGAGTATGTAGGACGTTTATAAGATAAGAGCCGAGAAAGAAAGGTGCTTAAAATTTTTGCAGAATAGTTATAACTTAAGAAATCATAGGAAAAGTACTAAGTATATCAAATTGTTAACTATATAGTTAAATTTAATAAAAACTGATAATAGACAAGAGAAGTTATCCTAAGTAGTCAGTGAAAATTTAATTGCCCAAAACATAACTAAATGACAAGTTGAGAAAAAAAAAATATTCTTAGCGTTAAATGTGGAATTAAGCAGTAAAAAATCTTATAAACAGCTGTAGTTTTCTATAACACTATTTACAACTAATGTCAATAATTTCACGTGATCCAGAGCATACATTGAAATGTATATTTTTTCAATTGTTGTCTTTGGGTCAAGTATCATATGAAAGCATTTCTAAAGATGTTCAATATACTTTTATTAAAAATAAAGTCATTAACCATTAAGTCTTTTCTATGACTGCATATATAGAAATGCTATATTCAGATTTAAGTAGCTGGCATGAAATTTACAAAATATATGGTCTTTGATCAAAGAGGCCAAGAATGAAAGTGAATTATGACTGAAATGTGAGAATCAAATCATTCATGAATTATGACTGAAATGTGAGAATCACATCATTGATGAAGAAGAAAATATCAACAGGCTACAGTATGCACTTATACCGTGAGGAGTTATATGTTTATAGACCCATTGAACTCATTTACTAGATCTATTTCTAGTGAATGTACAACAATGAAGTGACATATTAACAAGAGACTAATCACTCAAGCATTCCATACCACATCCCAACCTAATCTAATAAAAAACAATATTCCTGCTTTTTATTCTGAGACCAGTGTATTGATGATGAGTGAGGTCTATGCTGAACCAAAATGAACAAAGTCTATACATGATTTTAATAGATTTGTTAGAGAAAAAAAAGGGACATAGAGCTAACAATGATAATGATTTGACTAAGTGTTCTGCATAATATAAATATTTTGATTGGCACAAGACTAACTGGAATAAAAATCAACCAATGTACATGCAAGAAGTTTAGTGGAGAGCAAGGAAATGAGGCCACAAATTTGCTAAGAAACAATAATAAGCTATAAATAATGATAGCTGCAAAATACGACAAAGTAGCAGCTAAATAAGCGCAATGAAAAATTGTTAGCAAAGAAAAAATATACATAAATAACAGAAATAATCAAGAAAAGTAGGAAGAGCTGGTAAAGGTAAAAAACATTTTTACCTAAAATTTTAAACTGAATTAATGGAGAAAATTATTGATAAATTAGATGCAATCTAAGATATATCAACACAATTCAGTCATTTCATCTTCTTACCTAAATCTATATTTGTAGTGCCACCAACAATGAAAATAAATGCTGTGTCAAAGAAGTTTGTAACTAACTAATAATCCAGATATAATTCTTGAAGTTGATCCTTGATAATTGTTACGAATGGGATTTTAAGAATGATTAAGATTATTAATACATACTTTGAGTAGAGCAGCATAGCTAAACAGTCACGTCGACTGTTAGCTTCTTCCATCCGGATAGGTTTGACAAACATACTCCGATGGGCTTTACTCCCTGAATGGATGCTACGGTGCAGAAGAACTTGTTCAAGCCTTTTACTGTCAATCCCAAGTTGTTCTGATACTGTATTTATGCCAATTACAGTTTCTGCAAATAAAACATGTTTTATCACTTTTATTTTACTTTTCAAATACAGGCACACATGTATAGCTAGGAAAATTAAAAACAATATGTTGTAATTGCCATATTCACAATGTTTTGTTTGTTGTACATTCTGATCTTCTTCAGGTCATTGGAATTTCGAACCAAACACTTTATTTTGTCCACAGGGGTAGATTATTATAGTTCCACATGCCATGCCTCTTCCGGATGTCTGAGTTACTTTCCTTTCACTCAACTCTACAAGTTTTTTGGTTCACCACTGCTGTAGCCATGGTATTGAATGTCTTTATCCAATGGCCCAGTGGAAAAAAGACGTTGGTTAGATCCAGTGACTAGACCCCAAAAGTTGTGAATTCAATACCAGGCTGCAGCAGTGGTGAACCAAAAAACTTGGAGAGTTAAGTTAAAGGGAAATAACGGAGATATCTCGAAGAGGCATGGCACGTGGAACTAGAACAATTTACTCTGGTGGATGAAATAAAATGTTTGATTTGAAATTCCAATCACTTGAAGAAGGCCAGATTGTATAACTGCTGAAACATTGTGAATATGGCAATGAAGATGAGGATAACAGTGTAAATAATGTAAATAATCATAATACGTCATCTTGGAGATATAGACAGAAAATGTAATCTATCCATATTGTTAAGAGAGGGGGGATATGATACAATTGGGTTACTTTTTAACTTAAAATCAACAGTTAAGTAAATTTATGAGTGAGAATTCTTTTTATTCTTGATACTCTCTTTGGTCAAGCCATTTCTTCTCTAAGAATGATTACATTTGGATGTACAAGTAGTGTAACAGTTATGGGTGCAAAAAGTGGAATTGGCAAACTGAGTTCAAGTTCAAACCTAGTCTGTTGAAATTCACTTTTGCATTAATGACCTTAAAAGGGTATAAATGCATTTCTCTACTTATGACTATGGGGTGACAACATGGTTTGAAGTTTTATTGGTACATGAAAGTTGCAAGCAATCATTTCCAGCAGTGGAAGGGTTAAAATGATAGATTAAGAAAAATACTAATTAAAGCATAGATCAACAGGAGGTTAAAATAAAGAAAGAACAGTTCAAAAATATTAATTAGAATCATAAAATGAAGAAAAATTATTACAAATATCTTAAGAACACTGACTACAGATTTCTGTAAATTCCTTTGTATGTTGAAAAAATCTGCAGATATAATTTAGAGAAGAGTGATTTTAACTACTCTTCTTTATGCCTCTCATATCAGATTAATTTTTCATCTACATTACTACACAGGTCACCTTCTGTTCTTCCTTCTTTTTTCATTACCTACATATATGCAAATTATTCAAGTTTTATTACTCACATCCTGATCAATACCGAACATAATACTTCCATTTTCTCCCCTTCTATCATCCCTCTTTAAATTTTTTGTTTTGCTACTTATTTCTGTGACCAAAGCATGTTGTGCTCTCCACAAAGATGCAAGCCCAGCACTTTGGTCCTAGCCACCAGTCTCTTGGGGTCTTTGCAAGTAAACCCATGAAGAAGTGAGGTGAATTTTTCTTCTATTTGCTGTGTTCCTTCAGAACATGGGCAATTATGGCTCTCTGCAACTTCCTATCATTTGTACCTCTTACTAAGTTTTATCCTTTTGCTATTTCTTTGAATTCATATTCCGCAAACCATTTACACAAGTTTATTAGGTAGATTTATTGGCTGTTTTCATGTCTGTCTTGTCTTCAGTAAGTCCTCTGAGTGTCAAATTCTCCAAGCCCTCTTAATTATGTACCCAAGAAATTTCAACTCTTCACTTTATAAACAATAAAAAATCCATACGCGTGTTGTTTTTTATGGCAGCACATTCTTCATCATGTCCTTTTGTAAATTCAACATTGCACAAGTACAGAATACCAAACAGGATCTACAAAGACAAAAAAAAGATTAAGCTTCAAAATTTTAAGTCTGAAGTACAGAAAAAATATACAAACACAGGAGTTTTAGCCAATCAGTAAGCTCATCAGTTACTTTTGAAACATGATTTTACATATTTCAACAACAGTAGCCCATTTTCTTATGTTAAAACAGTGAACTACCTGCAGAACAAACAAGGCCATAAGAACCTGAATGGTAATTGTCGTGACTGAAGCATACAATGGCCGAAATGTTGTGAATATGGCAACAAATATGAGCACAACAGTTCGAATAGTATAAATATTTGTAATATTTTACAATTTTTGTGACTGTCATTTGAATTCTAAAAATTAACGAGTGAAGCTTAAAATTCTTTTTTATCTCTAAGAAAATGTTTTTAAAATAGTATTATTTGAATACAGATCAAATGCTAGAATTGGTCATATTCAGTTTCACAGAATATTGAACTCATGTTAATATTTTCTAATATGCCAATAAATTGTATTAGTATCAGGTTATACATTATTTATTTAATTTTATTTGATTCAAATTTTCATGAAGATCAAGCTTTCTAGATTCATCTGGTCAAAAGTACAAAACTTATCAAATCAAGGCAAGTGTTGCCGTACTCTGAATATAGACTGCTTCTGATTTTCAGTAATTCCAACTTCTTCCAAAGCTTGCAATGTGTTCTGAAATTTTTTACTGTCCATTTCAGCTGTTCTCCCTGAGGAAAAAAAAAGCATTTGTGTTCATATATATAACTGGAATACATTCAATAACTGTAGAAATTACTGTGTATCGATAAGATGATCATTTTGATGTATACTTTAAAAATTTTACCTATTTTAAAGTAATAATAACAACAATGCCACCTATTAATAAATGTAAAATTAATATAATTCAATGTATATCAAGGTGAACATTATTTCTGCCAATAGTTATAGCATAATTATTAATAATAATAATAATATATATCTATTTATAATAAATTTCCTTATATTTTTAAAATTTAAAGACTTTTTAAATAGATTTCTTACAAAATAGTTGAAAAATAAAAATTGAGCATTTCTGCTAAACTGCAATTATTTAAAGTTTATGATTGACTAATGACACTAAAATTATCACAAAAAAGCATTCAGATAGCCAATTCAAGGGGAAAAAATCCCTTTTTTTAATTGTATGGTAGATCATAAATGATAACTCAAACCTATGCTTTACTACTGAAAGATTACTTGATTTATGGTATCCTGTTATTTATATCTCAAGCTTATCATGCTGTTTGTCAGCCTTGCCTTGCATACGATTTTGTGTGCAAAGATTCAACTATCTTTGCAAGATTATAAAAAAAATTTCTTCAAAGAAATTTAACTGATCTCATTTCTCAATAGTAACAAACTACAGCATTAGAGACATTGCTGGATAGAAAGATATGTACACATATATTTGAAAAATAATAATTTTTTTTCTTTTTTTTTATTTATGTATAAAAACTATATTAATGTATGAGTTATGCTCTGAAAGTAATGCCTTTTATTTATTGCCATAGAAACTATAACGGACACAGGGTAAAGTAAGTTTGCAGCTACAAAACACTATTTTTCTAGTCACTCCCATTGGCTATACATTTTTACCAGTGATGAACAAGAGCCTGAATTGGAGGGGGGGGGCTTGACAACTATGCAGGACCACTGTCGCCACTGCTAAAGTACATTACCTTCTGTGTTCACATCCTCTATTTGGTATCCATATGTATTCAGCAAGTATCAATGAATGTTAATGGGTACAATCTTTTTTCACATTGGGAGAATTTAATGTTTCATTCTTAGAATAAGTAAGAATGTCAATGAACATTTGTTTATATAGCCCCCCAACCCCACTAACACTTAAGGAAACTTAAATTTAATAATTACTCATATTTCTTTTATACCTAGAAACTATTTTTGAGATCAGTTCAGAAATAAAAATTAAATGCTTCTTCAAGGGCTGCTTTATAAAGAATTGTATATTTTCCATTAGTGCCAATATAAAAGCTTGTACTTTGAATGGCTACCTTCAAAGCAAGCAAACTTTTTCCCACTTAGAAGATTTTTGTACTTTCATATCTGTAGACATGTTGAATGTAAAAGTTTCAATGATTATTATATATATATATTACACACACACTTTTTTTTAACAATTAATTAAGATACCTTCAGTTAATGACCATTTTCACCTATGAATTTTAATTTTAAATTTTCAAACTGTTTGTGGTATCAGTTTGTCCCACTACAAACTTATACCATAAACAGTTTGAAAAATCCTGCGAATTTTAAAATTAAAATTTGTAGGTCTCTTAATTCCAATTGTAAAGAAAATTTGCTCTGTTTAATGAAAATAAACATTGAGCACTCTTTTGTGAGTCAGTTTTAACATATTTCAAATTCTATTTTGCGTTAATAGGACTTTCCAACTGATTACTACTTGTGTGTGTGTGCATATTGTGTGTATATATTTATTTATTTAAAATAAATTTATTTCTTCAGCATTTTTTTTAATCACTAGTAACATTGGTAATTAACCTCAAATTCATCTTTCTTTGATATTAATTTGAATTTAAGAAAAAAATGGTTAGATTATGGGAAAAATTATTTATTGTACTTTTGTTCTTGCTTTCAATAGAACCGAATGTTGTATTAATATATAAGAGTTTGATTAAAGAGTTATCTTTACTGTTTTCATTACAGATATCAAATTTCTTGATACACATACACAAACAGCATCATCATCATGAACAAAATGAGTAAAGAAAGAATATTTCATACCTGGACGCTCTGGAAGTATTCTAAATTTCATGTCCTCACTAATACACAAGTTCTGAAGACTATAACCATTGTTGTTATCTTGTTTTAGGCCTTGCAGAATCTTAAAAATAAATAAATTGTATTTCAAAGATTCATAAGAATCTTAAATCTATGTTTTAATTTTTTTATAACATTTTATTTTTATTCAATTATCTTTGTATATAATCTGCCATTATGCCTGTAGTGTGTGTTTTTGTGTGTATGTATATATATATATATATATATATCATTTGATGATTAGTATGGATAATTGCAAGGAGGGTATAAATCCAAATATAGATCAATGTAGGAACAGAGCAATATAATAATGAATACAGAAGCCTTAAAAAGCCATTGGGTCAGGTGACTATATATATATATATATATACACACACACACACACACACACACACACACACACACATATATATATATTGTGTATTTAGGCAGCAATCCCTCATTTAAACATGTTTCATTAAAGATGACAGACAAGGTACTGTGATTAAGCTTTTTATTTAATTTTTCTTGTGTTTGAACAAATGTTTTCTTTTCTGGATACAGAATGTGTAGAAACTGTCTAAATGTTCCGTAATTCTGAGTTGCTTTTGGCTATACTTTTAGCCATCATCAAAGATGATTTTTTTTTACTTTTTAACTGGATGTATGGGTTGTGTGTATGTTTCTAGAATTATAGGAATGTTTTATTTTTCAAACACAGCACATTGTGGCCATGTTCATAGTTAATATTATTGAGTGTTGGCTTATTCCTTTTTATTATTAAGGCCTCCATTATTTTTAATTTTTTTTTTACATGTGGATGAAGTTATTATGCTTGTATTTTCTACTAGTATGTTTTGGATGAAGTCTGGTAAGTTTGTGTGTGCGTGTTTAAATGGGTTCTGTTGGAGCTGTGGTTGGATAGGCATGTAGTACCAATGTAATGTGACCAATGTAATTATTTATGGGCTCGGTTCGATCAGGAACACAGTTCCTTAAGGGGCATTTGAACTCGTAATGTTCATTCTTTGTAGTTTTGATTCTACACACTGTGTCCCGAAAAGAAAACACTTGTTTGAACAAGAAGAAAAATTAAATAAAAAGCTTAATCGCAGTACCTTGTCTGTTGTCTTTATGGCCATTTATGCAACACATGCACTGTATATCTTACATTCTTTCCAGGATAAATAATTTTGTGCAATATAAAATTAATTATTAATAATTTTCAGTATTCTTTTTGCACTTGTATTTTTTGTATTTCCCAGTTCTTCATTTCTTAGGATAATTGTTACAAGAGATATTATTTAGGGAGTCTAAGTAGAGATAACACTTGTTGTTTAGTGAGAAAAGACACAAGTAAAAGCAATGAATTTACCAGCTTTTTTAGAAGGGAGCATGAAAGACAGAACTTAATTCTATTTTTTTTGTGATTAAAAGGTAAGTTCTCATCTGTTTCAATACCTTAAGATTTAATTTTAAATGTTCAAAATTATTTTTTTAAAGTTATGTAAAAACATTTCTTGATAATATTGTATATTATTATTTCATTAAACATTGTTAAAGAACATTTAAAAAAAAAAATCACTGCAATACTTAAAAATTTAAAATTAAATTAAAAGTATTTAAATTCAAATTTCCTGTATTAATGTTGGCATTATTTTAAAGAAGAAAGGTTGAACTTTATCTTAAAAGAACATTTGGGTAATTAAAACAATTTAAATTAAAACAATATTAATCTATGTCAAAATTACGAATTTTTACTTTTCTAGTCATCAATCCACACCATTTTTTGACACTTGTTGTCAAGTAATATGAAACTTATCGAAACATTTTTTTAAAAATTAAAATAAAAATGTCTACATCTATGTCTGATTCTAACCAGACCCGGCACATCTGCTTCTAGTGAGAGATCGTTTCTTCAATAAAGTGTGTAAATAATTATGTGAGGTATTCCCAAAGTGAAGAGCAATTAAGTAATTTGGTTTTCATTTCCATGAATAAAGAAAGTTTGAAGAAAATAAAGGTAAGGAGGGGGGGGCTGATAATTTATACAACAAAAACAAAAAAGTGATCAAGGAATTTGCCAAAAAGAAAAGAATTAAATTGATTTACAAACAAATTTTAATAACTCATTATTTTTAGATTTTATTATTTTCTCTCATAACCAGTAGTGGCCATCATTGTCACCAGGCTATTAATAATCATGCGCTGGGGAGTGGGGTGGCATCAAGTCCAGTGGAGAAAGATATCAAGTCTGAAGGGGACCCTGTTAGTAGAAGTGTATTTTCTCACATTAAAATTAATTCAAATCACATTCAGAGGTTTTTTTTGGGTGGCGAGGGCAAATAGTTTTCTGGAGGTGCAGAGTGAGTGGGGTTCTCCTTTTCCCTCTCCATCTTGGTTATTAGACTGCATGCCCTGGTTCCCAAGTCACCCTTTGTCACTGGTACTCACACACACACACACACACACACACACACAGATATATAACATTAAAAAAAAAGCAACTACCAAAGAAAAACACAATGGGAAAAAGTGCTCTATTCTGCAATGGCAGAGCATTTATATTTTTTTCAAAATATTCTGGTGTACATATGACTGGCAATGGTTGCCAGTTTTGTACATACTAACTTCTGCAGTCATCAGGTGACCAGTATTGGCCTGGTCAATGATATACTCACTTGGATAACCAAAGTTGTTACAATAGGAATGTAGCTGATGAATATATCAGGTCATCCCATAAGTTCTGTCCGAATTTTAACTTTTTGCTAAAATGAACGAAATTTAAAGAGTATTTTATAATGTCTAATGGAGCTGAACATTATTTTTATGTTTAGATGCATTTAAACTGATCAAATTTTATTTTAGAGAACAATAAAATTAAATTTTGTTTGATTAATACCCTGCTAACATGGAAGTACCCAAGAATCATTTGAGGTACATAATGCTTTATGAGTTCAAGAAAGGAAACTCAGCAGCCGAAGTGGCTAGAAACATTCACTCAGTTTATGGAGAGGAATGTGTGAATGAAAGAACTTGCAGAAGATGGTTTGCAAAATTCAGAGGTGGAGATTTCACCCTTGAAGATAAAGATCAAACCGGACGTCCAGTTGAGTTTGATGAAAAGCTTCTTGAAGCAGCCCTTGAAGAAAATCCTGCTTTATCAGTTGAGGAATTGGCAGTGGTTCTTAGTTCAAACCATACAACTGTTCATCGTCATCTTCAACAACTTGGAAAAGTTCCTAAACTTGGAAAATGGGTGCCTCATGAATTTTCTGAAAACAACCTCAAATCCCGAGTTGACATCTGCTCTTCTCTCCATTCTTGCCAACTTGTTTCACCTTTTTTGGATAGACTTGTGACTGGCGACAAAAAATGGATCTTTTATCGAAACGTTAAGTGTCGTAGACAGTGACTTGGTAAAGGGGAAGGACCCCAGCCACAGCCGAGAAGGGAACTTCATGGGCAAAAAGTTCTTCTTTCAATCTGGTGGGATCGCCACGGAATAAGCCACCTTGAATTCTTACCACCTAATGCAACAATTAATGCTCAAATATACTGTCAGCAATTAGAGCGTTTGAACCAAGCTTTGAGGGAAAAAAGACCTGCTATAGTTAATCAAAAAGAGGTGATGTTTCATCAGGACAATGTGCGACCACACACAGCAAGAATCACGTCACAAAAGATCGGTTAGGAGGAAATTTCTCATCCACCTTATTCTCCCGATCTTGCTCCTTCAGACTACCATTTGTTTCATAGCTTACAGAATCATTTGGAAGAAACAGCTTTTGTAACACAGGAAGAAGTTAAAACTGACATTTGTGAGTTCTTCGAATCAAAGCCAAAAGAATTTTACAGTAATGGAATTAGTAAGATGGAAGGAATTCATAGATAATCAGGGAAAATACATTGTTGATTGAATCTGTAATTAAATGTAACATTTGGTCGCTTGTTTTCTTTATTCAAAATTTGGACAGAACTTATGGGATGACCTGATACATAATGTACTCATCAACTAAAATCACTGAGGGAGAAATATACATACAGTGGGTAACAGAATTTTCAAAACATCGCTTCTATTTCAGGAAGAGCAAAAAATAAATAAATGATTAAAAAAAAAAAAAAAAAAACACACCAGAAAAAAATATTTGTCAGTATATAAATCGCTCAGTTGACCTACTATAGAAAATGTCTTGCTTCTAGAGTTGTATCCTGTTTAGTTATTATTAGTTTTAATAATGCACACAATTTTATTGATGCTTTTGTTTACATTTTCTTATATCTTACACCAGTGAACATTACAGTAACATTATACTGTTTTTTTTTGTGATGACACTTGATATTTTGATCAAATTTAAAAAAAATATCTAACTGATTCAAATTTACATTCTGTGAATATCACTGCTTATGTAATAAAAAGAAAGAAAAAAAGAAAGTAGAAAAATAATGAAAACAAACCTGATAGAAAATATGGAAATTGCATTCACCTGCATTGTGGTGAGTCACTCTAGTTTTTTCTAATAAATAAGTGCTAATGGTAGCACCTTTCATGCTGCCAGATCTGAAATATGATAAAAAATGATAAAAAAAAAATGACAAAAAGTAAAAATTATTGAATTAATTGAATTAAACTAATATCTTTTTTTTATTAGTGATTATTGCTGTCTTCCTTCTCACAGATAATGTGAAGCATATTCTATGTTTCACATTACCTTTGTTGTTGAGTACCTTGTCGCTTTCTTTATTCTCTATGTTTGCTTTGAGTCTCTTCATCAGTGTAGCAATATTTGCCATCTTGATAATTAATTATCAAGATAAAGCACAGCAAGAATATTGTTATCTTTGTGATAGTTAAATTTTGACCAAAACCAATTACTCTTTTCTGTCCTGATGGGGTGTTACCTTGACGTGATAAGACGGCTTGCTTGCATGTGTCAACAAAAACTATGCAGGCGGGGGCTTCGGCCTGTAGCAGGTCCAACCAAGCTCAACAGGTTCGTGGGGTAGGAGCTAGATGAAAGACACACCCTGGTCCTCCAAGTTGGGGGTTGTGCGGTAGGTTAACAACCTATTCACTTAAAAAACTGCTTTGTTTTATTTCGAAGGTAAGAGGATAATATAAAAGATGTAGAAATGCTTAAAATTATTTATTCTTTTCTATATCTTTTTATATTATTTTATTACCTTTGAAATATAACAAAAATGAAGGATATAATGTTATGAACAAGAACTCTAACACAAACAATATAAGTGACATCAAAAAGCAGTTCATGTGATGGCAATCAAATTAGCAAAGTTGGCTTTGCAATTTAGTATGATTCTTTTAGAAAATTACTATATTTGCCTTCACATAAGATACGTTTATTTGCTTCTTTTTTTTTTTTTTTTTTAAATGTACCAAAAAACTACCCAGTGTCTAATACTCTTTAGAGATGGGAGAAAATTTTGAACTTTCACAAATGGCAAATATGGACAAAGTCCCTTTGACATTTGATGTGTCATCAAACAAGACAGTAGAATCCAACGGTGCTTAATCCATGAGTGTTAAAACATGTGGCCAAGAAAAGACACATTACACAGTTGTATTAGCATGCTGTGTTGATGTCAGAAAACTGACACATTTTTTTTAACTTTTAAAAGTAAAACATTACTTAACGAAAGAATAACCAATGATATTTATGTCCATCCAAAAGGCTGGATGCATGAAGAAGTGAAATTGTGGTTTCATAAAGTGTGGTCCAGTCTTCCTGGTGAGCTATTAAAGAAACCTGCCTTATTATTTTGGGACCGGTTTCAGGCTCAAAGAACTGAGTTTAAGAGGAAAGTTGGAGAACTGAAGACAAAGTTAGCTGTTTATATGTACCAATACTAATTTTTACAAATGTACTTGTATTTTTTTTCTGCCTTGGCAAATTTAGTTTCTATTAAAGGCAATACAATATATGATTTCATACTTTATTCCAATATACTGTTAGAATATTGTATTTGCATGCATAAAATCATACATTCTCCCCCTACAAAACCACTTTAAAATATATTTCAATAAATATATGATGAAACATACTACTTTTTTTTCTACAAAATATCCTTGTAGAATAGTGGAATGTTATACAAAAGCAAATATAGTAATACTTTTGTTCCAGTTAAAACAATTTTTAAATAAGTAAGCCAAAAAAGATATTTTATATAATGTTTCTAATTTTATTGTTACATTATGATTGTTGATGGAATTATTTGTTATTCCCTTTTTATTTATATCACTTAAAACTTTATTTTTGATTTGAGTATTTACCTGTTAAAGTGTAGTTGAATAAATTTGCCAAATCTGGAGCTGTTTTCATTCCTGGTTGTTGTGGCATTTCCTAAATAAAAGAACAAATTTTAGAACATTTTATATGACCAGTTTCTGTCAAAGTTGACAATAAGTGTAACAGCTTTTTATTGGTACTCTTAACTGTTATAATGAGCATTTTGTTGCAAAGGAAAGGAACAAACAAGGATTAAATTTTCAACAATATGTGTTAGTTGATTTAGTGGAATGTCGCTGTTGGATTCTGGTCGAATGTAGTATCAGTGAGATAGGTCATGGTGGTGATGATGAAGGAGGCCTTGAGGGGTGGTGATGGCAAGTGGCGATCATGATGGTGACAGTGACTACATGCTGACAGGTGGCCTGTGTTGGTTGTTATGAGGAGCTTTCTTTTAAGCAAATCTGGTAGCTCCCAGGGTCATCATATTTTCAGTAGGAATGAGCATAATTGGCTAATCAATTATTTTTAATGCAGAGATTTGTATTGTGGACTAGATATGATGCTTGGAGCCCATGTGCAGAAAACAACATTTTATTTTGTATTTTACTTTCTTAGCACTCACATCCGACCAAAATATAGAGTGAATCAGGAAGTGATCTAATTATAGTGGAGTATAACATAACTGGTTGCTAAGGTAGTTATAGAGGAGTGCTTTACCCAAATATTCACTCTTCTTCAAAAACCATTGCAGCATACCATAGATTAGATGTTGTTTTTGTAAAGTTAACTTATAAATGGGACAGAGCGCAGATAGATGAATTTCTTAAAAGCCTTATTGCAAAGAGAATAACACTCGCAGCTAGGAATTAAACTCAGTTTGCCAATTTTGTACTGATGACTATTTTACCTTGCAGCTTTAGAACAAAGTATATAAAGGAAGTGGTGGGAGAAGATATTAGGATATGGAGTAATCAATGGTAAGATCAGGATAGATATTTACTTGCTACTACATTTATGGCACTGACTATATTCAACATATTTTCTGTGTTTTTTTTTTTATGCATATCTTCAATGAGAGCCATCATGCAATTTGCTGTTTCCAATTGCCCATTTGACACAATTCTATTGATTTAACCATAATAAACAGGTCCAGCAATAAACTTTTCAAATTCCTGCTTGTGCACATTACAGCTTGCTTTAACTCAATTGCATGATATCAATCTACACACACACACACACTGATCAAAACTAAAAGTATATATATATATATATATATATATAGATAGATAGATAATATTAGTGGTCAATATATATATATATATATATATATATATATATATATATATAAATTTCCAAGAGGATAGAATCCAGGTAGAAATCAATGTCCAGGACAGAGTAAGAATATAAAAAAAAGGCTCAAACACTAATATTCCATGGTTATAATTTATTATATTGGAATCATAATCACGACCCAATTCATCAGACCCACAAATTCAAAAATAAATCGGAAAATATAACTCCGGGTATAAAAAATAAAATTTTAGTGAGAGTGCATGTGTGGGAAACAAGTGTGAGAGGGAAATTTATCAAAGCTCTAGAGAGGGGTAACAGAAGAAAGAAAAACAAGAAGGCCTAAAGGTGAAGGTGGGGATTAAAATTTAACAGAGAGAAGTTTTAAAGAGAGGACTTAAATAACAGTTTAAATGAGTGAGATACAGATAAATATGAATTATTTTTCAATGAATAATTCACTACCGATTCGCTGACCTAAAATTAAAATTAAAAAACATACACTGGAAATGTGTGTATACATTTATGGTGACACTATGCACAATAAAAAACGATATGATCTAAACTTAAAATCCAGATGAGAGAGAGAGAGAGAGAGAGAGAGGAAAAAAAAGGGGGGGGGCTAAAAACAAAGGGCATTTATTATAAGAGAACCAATGTGTAATCAAGAAAATTGTATATATATGTATATGTTTGTGCGCATGTGTATCTAAACAGCAAATTCTTTTAGGCATGTCCGATTGAATAAATTACAAACATTATGTCTGCTTATTTTGATCATAATCCTTTCATATTCATAAATATTTTTCCATATATTACAATTAAAAAGGCAAGAAATGCACTGTACTACAGTGAGAATCACTTTTATTTCCCCAAGTAATTTCCATCTTTTTCTGAGGAATCGTAAGGCAAAAACTATGTGTAGCTATCCATTACTGAATTTTTTTTTTCAGAAAGAAAAGGCATTTTTTGCCTATTCTTGGCAGCCAGCTATTGGCTCTCACTCTGGCCAGTACAAAATGGCCGCAAACTACATGAAAACTGCCGTAGAAGCCTGAAAAAAATTGATTATTTTCACTATCGACGGGAGTTGGGAAATGCAAAGTCAGTCTTGGCCTTCCCACTAACTTGGAGCATGTGCATGTAAATTTTGGTGCAAATCCGTTGAAAATTGCAGCTGTGCATTCATTACACACACACACACACACACACACACACACACACACACTGTCTTTTATAGATAGAGATAATAAATATCTGTAGGTCTTCTAAATCTCTTAGGATTTTCTCACTGTATAAGTTAAAGAAATCCAATGAGAAAATGCATCCTTTTCTTATTGTTTTTCCTATTTTTGTGTATTCATTAATTTCATTCTCTCTCCATATGCAGTCTGTTTGTTTCTAGTAGACATTACAGATTACTCAAAATATCTTTCTCGTGTGAAACAAGCTTTCCTAATATTTCAAGTAGCTCTTTGGGCTCTGACCTTATCAAATACCTTTGTGTAATTTATAAAACATAGATATAGGTCTTTCTGCAATTGTATTACTTGCTCAGATAACATTTTGATCATAGAGATAGCATTTCTTGTTCCAGTGTCTTGAACAAAACCATACTATTTTTGTTCGATTTCTAGCTGAACACCCTGGGACAATTCCCACAGAGTTCACATTAATCTGCACCTGGTTTTTTTTGTCATGAAGATTGATCTACTGAAGTCTTCTGATATTTTGTTGTTATATATTTTATTTATTTGGGCACCTCGAGGCAGTGTAATGGTTAGCAAGCTTGTCTCACTAGAACAATTACGACTGAGTAGTGAGTTCAATCCTCACTGGGTGCCTCCTACTTCCGGCCTTGTGCCACATCTAAGCTACGCTTGGAAAATCACTATATTTTATTTATTATTTCAGTAACAGTACTGATCCTGAAAACATCTAAGGCCAACATCTCTATTACAATCGCATCTGGTCCTGATGATTTGTTTCTCTTCATCTTGGCCAGTGCTAATCTTAGTGCCACTTATAATACTTTAAGAACAGCTTGTTCAAAAAAAAAAAAAGCTTGGGTTATTAAATTTCTGCTATATTAGCATTAATACATTTACTACTTGAGGTGCTTATATTTACTAAACCCAAACGAAAAACAAATATAAAAAGAAAACTCACCAAATGCTTCCAATATAGGATTGGATTCCAGTATTTTTTTCTCAATGTTACTACCAGTTAAAGAATTCTCCCTAAAAAAGTATATAAAGAGAAGAAAAAAAAAAAAAAAAAAAAAAAGAATATTTTTATTTATTAGTCCTTCTTGCCAGAGTGAAATTGGAAAGTAAGTCCCTAGGTACACTAAAGCAAACATAAAAATAAAAAAAATGCAGAGCACTGAATGAAGAAAAGTAAAAACATTTGAAATATGTTGAAAACTGTCAGTGTGCAGCAATATTCATTTTACACAAGGCCCAAGGATAAAAGCTGTTCCTCAATCATTTTGTTCTAGAACTAATAGAAAACATTGCCCTGAGGGTAACCATTCAAACAAGTGATACCCGGATGCAAGCAATCTTTCATTGTTTTTTTTTTTTCTGTGACAATGAGAATTAGAAATATCCTCCAAGTAAGGCAGTGAGAAGCCAATTATCTTCTGGGCAACATCAATAATGCTTTGGTGGACTCTCTTGTCGACCGCTGAGAAACTAGCATACCAAACAGTGAAACAGTACCTTAATAACTTTAAGAAATTTAGGGAGGTTTTGGAGCATTTTTCAAGTGACACCAACAAATATATAGTTAATGGTTTTATGACTGACAGCATGAAATGCAGAAATCAAGAAAAAAAAAATTCTATAATTGGTCAAACTGGAGTAGAATCACAAAAATTTGGTTAGCATATACAAGTCACTGAAAACTAGTAAAGTAAACTGCTACAATAGATATTCTTTGGTACATATTTCAATAAAATTTTCACAATGTCTACGGAATAACTTCAGTAAGATCAAACTTTTCAGTTGTCGTTATGTGATTAACACACCTCCCAGCACGTTTGAGCAAAAAACTCTTTGACAAATCAATAAAATTTGAAGATAATTCTCATGAATGTGTGAAGTTCATAGGGTATATAATGAATATATTTAAAGTTTGTGTTTTTTTTAACCGATCTTAACAATTTAAATATTAAATTTGCATTTCCATTTAAAATTACTTTTCCTCAGTTGGAGAAAATATTTTTAACAAAAAAAAAAAAAAAAAAAAAAAATAAACAAACCAAAACACCACCATACCAGCCTCACAAGTCTTTTTAAAATTTGAAATGACCTTTTGCTCTATGGGCTGGTTTTAAAAGTCATCCTAAGGGGCAGGAATTTTATAAATTCATCTACCAAGCAGGAGCATTGCTCATCACAAGAAGTCACTTCATTGGCAAATTATTTCCTTGGATATATTTTATCTAGGTACCTCCATGAAATGTAAACAAAAAGAGCATAGCATGATGAAAAAGATGCCGAACTTGATGAAAACAAAATTTTATCGTCTAATGTTCATATCATTATTAAAGAAGAAAGATCAAAGTATTTGGGGGGTATTTTTTTACATTTTTCAATCATTCCTAGCACGTCCAAAATTTTTGTTAAAAATCTTGTTTTTTTTTTTTTGTCAAAAAAAACAAAAAAACAAAAGGACAGATAATCCATCATTTTCAATCATTTTTTTCCATTTTATAAAAAAGATGAAAATCTCACGTTGACATTCTTTTAAAAATTAATTACCATTTTTTTCAAAACTTATTTTAAAGAATCAGAAATTATAATGTTTATTTAAAATATTTTGAACCAAGCTTAACTTAGCTTAGCTTGTGTGCCGAAAAAAATGTAACTTGAAAATAAAACAAAGCAGGTCATGACCTTTTGTATCACTTGACATGACGTTTAGATAACTTACGGGAGGATAATTCTTTCTATGGATGGAAGGAAGTGAAATTATTTAGATTTAAGTGAACAAAGTATTTATCTCGTTACTTTTAAGGAAAACTTTCAGTGCTCTAATTTTTTTAATTTTTAATTTTTTTTGTAATTAGCTTTCATCTTTACATTTACGATGCTTTATAGAAAATACATTATAAAGAAATTAAAAAATAAGACCGTTAAGAGTGAGATTAAATTTCATAAGAAAGGTATCTAATTAATTTATACGTACCTTTCTTATGAAATTTTATCAGAAGTGCACATAAAATACTATAATTTTATGTACATTTATTACATTTTACTGTGTTTGTATTTCCATTCATTTTATTATTAATTTTGATATTTCATTTATGGAAAAATGTCATAACTGAGATTAATATAAAAATAAGATCATATAAATTAAAGTTTAGCAGTAGTTAAATTTCATAAGATGATACTGTTACTTGTAGGTACCCTTCTCAGTTGAAATTGAAAATCAAATTAACTTCTCCATACGTGTTTTTGCAAAAAGTAAAGGCCTTAACAGCGGAGAACAATGCTGAACTCAAATAAAGCATCTTAATTGTATTCTGGTTGGTCTTCCGTACTTTATAATTACCGCCCGATTATAAACACAAAATTACATTTCTTAATTACTGCAGATCTTCTGATTGGTCAAAATGATACAATTTTCAAAACGCTGGAAAATGATCTATCTCATAAAAACACTTAGAAAAACCGATGTGGCTTTTAACATATTTTATAATATTTTTTAAAAACTTAATGTAAAAATCTATTATAATTAAAGAAATAACAAATAATTGTATTAAAAAATTCAATTTTCATTAAAAAATTTTTTGCTTTCAGAAAATATTGTCCATATTCATAAAAAACAACTAAAAACAAATAAAAGCATTTGAAATTAAATAGTATCTTTGTTTTATTGAGTTTTGTATGTTACAATTCAGAGCTGATTTTCAGGTACTGCGGATCCAATTAAAAAAAAAAGAAACAAACATGATTTGCATTCTTCAAAGCCTTATGCTTTTAACTATTGTAATCACTAAAACCGATGTGATTGAATTTCTAGAGTTTTTTATAAAATTAGTTATGGGGGTGTTAATAAATATAAAAAAAACATATTTCTGCCATGACTTTAATAAAAAAAAACATATTTATAATAATTTCAATCATCTGTGAATAGTTTCTGAAAGTTTCATTAACATCCAACAATTATTTTTATTTTTGCTAGATTTTCCAAATTAATGTGTGTAATACAAAAAAAAACTAGCTAAAAATTGTCTATGTTATTTTACTAGTTCCAGTTGGTACAAAGAGAAACAAGGTTTTTTTTAATCAAAATTTAGAATGTTCTAAAAAGAAGGAAAAATTTTAAAAAATAATTAAAAAAAACTTTGGTCTTTCCTCTTCATAATAACATAAGCATTTAGACGATAAAATTTTGTTTTCATAAAGTTTAATTAACACTTTCATTCTCTTTGCAACATCTGCTTTGATCCCATCTTTGTTCTTCACTATTGTGCATATGGTTGATTTCAACATTGAAAAATTCACATCAAAAAGATACATATTTCACTTTCATTTGTTTTTTCACTTCAGTTGTGGCTCTCACTGTGACGAAAGACATGACTTACCTCAGAATTTGAAACGAGCACGAATGTGTCTTGCTTACAAAATAATGACAAAAAGAAATATGGCCGCTATTGAAGACGCAATTTATGCGTGCTGATCTCATCCAAAACGAGACGATATTTGCACACATGCAAATTTCGGCCATATTAGAACAGCATAAAAAGCAGGGTGCCAGGAGCATGAGGGGATTGAGAATCATTCGGCGGACTGTGTGCAATAGAGCAGGACATACGAATTGACAGAGGAACAAAGAGGAAGTTGAAGTAGGCGCAGCTGATTTTGGTGTCTGTTTCACAACTGCCCAGCTGAGAAAGAGTCACACAATCTATTTCCTTGAGGCGACTGAAGAAGAAAAATACAGCTGGCCTGCCAGCAAGTACATTTTTTGACTCACCCCTCATCACCATTGTTTTTTTTTTCTAAACTCACAACTTTCCTCTTAAATTTGCTGCTATCACTAACTTTCTCTGGAGCCATTAGGGTGTATATATAATAAGGAAATAATATATAAAAATACAACAAAACACAGCGCCAAAGGTAGCCAATGAGTAACTGATGCATCCATGTGTTTGGGGCTTCCTTGGAGTTCATTTGACTGCCATGGTTTTCATCCCAAAACTGAATTTCTGTTTGAAAACTGAAGTATATTTTTCTCAAAAAATTTGTTCAAGAACAGATTTGTTCAAGATAAGGGGTGTGTATGAAGGAGAAAAATTATCTCAATTTAAAAGTTTTTTTTTTTTAATTACATTTACATTAACTTTTCTTTCTTTCTCATAGGATTCTTAATCAATTCTATTTTGCTCTTAAAATTCAACTTTGAACTTTTATTTTTAGTTTGTTAGTAGAAAAATAAAACTTGAAATGTAAAGAAACATAATTTTAACTTACAAACAAGTCTGAAGGTTGGAAACAGCTGTTAAATAATTTAGAAGATACATGGCTGACACAGTCTGAAAGAAAAAAAGAATTGTTTTATGATGTATATCTACAGATAAAAATTCAAAACTCTTAAAAATTATGGATTTTCTGTTTTCCAGCAACATTTGCTAATTTTTTTAGTATTGTTTATATATTGATAATATTTTCAATTGATTTGATTTTATCATAATCAGATACCATAAATGGTCAAGTGAGGAACATACTAAAAATTAACATATTATTAAAAAAAAATATGAACAAAGAAAAATAGTTAAAATAAACAAACATAAATGACATTAATATGAAAGAGTTGAAAACTGTGAGTGATCACAAAGTGTTTAGAGAAGTTTAAAAGTAACAAAAACATTTTCAAAATACTGCCAGAAAAAGATAATAATGAATATCTGCTTAGTTATGTAGGGTAGTGTATGAAATCATTGAGATTCACACAGTAACAGTTTGCATAACATTATGGATCATGCAATTGAACTTTTCAATGAAAATGATTTAATGGTATTTCTGTGCTGGAAGTCAAATGAGAAAAAAATTGAAGACAGAGGAAAATGCATCTTTAGAATAATGTGTTGATTATTTTATAATGCATTAGTGAACTGAGTTGAAATTAAAGAGAAAAGCGCATTGTAAGAGGATTGCAATTGTAATTGCAAAATAAACATACCTTGCCTGCACCACTTTCACCACTAACCACAATAATTTGGCTACCCTTGCCAACATGTTGAATCATACAATTATAGGCAGCCCTTGCACTGCTATAAATGTGAGGCTCCAATGACTAGTAAAGAGAAATATAAGAAAATAGGAAATGGAAAAAAAAAATGTCTTTATTCATTAATGTACAACTACAGCCTGAACAAAAAATATTTCATTCACTTGATTTTGGAGTTCTGAATCTTGTTACATTTAGAAGTTCAGTTAAATTATAATATAATAAAAGAAAATGAATAGCAATAATTAAAAAAAAAAAAAATTAAATTTGTAGATTGATTGAATTTTCTAGTTAAGAGAAAGAGACTGAAAATAACCCTAAGCTCCATGTTTTTATATTGTACTAAGATTAAGTTAGTTTAGGTTGGTTGATTTTTACATGTCAACCCTTGTTGGGTTATATAATGTTGAAATTTTGTATAGGACACCCAGTGAGGATCATTCTCACTACTCAACAAGGCAAGACTCATTAACTATTACCTCACACAAAGACACCTTTAACTAAGCTTAGTAAATATCAATTAAAAAATGAAGAATTAGAAAAACAAAATAATATATCAGCACATGAAATAAATCTGTCTTGTTTAAATTCATCTAAATAAATACAAAACATGTTCAATGGCAGCACAACACAAAAGGAAGGAGTAAATGAAGGTGTGTGCAGAAATAAACAAATTCACACTTCCTTTTTATTAATTTTGATTAGGTTAAACTAAATCATACTTCATGAAGATCAGTTGTTTTTAAGAAGGTGTTATTAAATCTGTTGTAGACTTGATTATTTATAACTCCTTAAACTGATAGATTATAGCGGTATTAAATGTCTAATTCTTTAATAGGTTTGTTAAGAATTTTTCTTGTAACTACAACATCGCTCTCTCTATACAGACACACAGAGTCTTATAAATGAATCATAGTTTGTATTTTATAATATGCAACTTGATTATATTTATCCAGATATAATCAATTATACTTTGATATAAAAATTCTTGTTTTGAATTACTTTATTCAATTAAATTTCTATATAAGTTTATTGTGAATTGTTTCATGGGGTAATGTAAAACATGCTTCAGAATTGTACAACCACAATGAGGTTTACAAAGATCATGCAACAAAGAAGTAAATACAGATTATGAGTTAAGATGGTTGCAAATCATGTCATAAATGAAGGCTCCAGTTATCTTACATTTTGAATCTTCAATAAAGTAATTCAGTCTCCCATGAATTGTACCCAGCTTAAGATTTCATCCTACATTTTACAAGACTATTTCAAGTTTCCTCATGTTTTAAAAATCTAAAAGATTTCACTTAAATCTTTCATAGAGAATTTTCTTTGTTAGGACACTATCAATATGCCATTAAACCAAGTTGTTTTTCAAGAGAAAGATTTTGATCAAAACATTTTATATCAAAGTTTGTTTAATACACAATTCAATGCACCATTATTTATTTATAAACATAGCTTTTACTATCTATAGGACAATTCAGAATGTATTAAATAAAATACCGTCACATAAAATTAAATTATATAATAATAAAAATATACAAGCAATAAGTGAGATGTTTAAAAATATTGTAATACTAACATCACAATTTACTTAATAAAAAAAAAAAAAACAGTGACAGGTTACTGAATTTTTCTTTAACAGGAAATATAAAGATGACGATACTAATTCAAAAAATTATTCTGACTAGTTTCTTTATTTTTGTAGTTTTTACCATATTTTAGTTGATATTTTGTTAAATCTTCCTTAGAAGCATTTCATCTGACAATCCTTGAATGCTACCAAATACTAATGAAAAGATCTAATTTATATATAAAATAAAATAGGACTTATTGGTTCATGCATAACATTTTTAAGGTTTTTATGTACATTTTTAACTACATGCAAAATTACATCTCAACCTATATTGTAAAAAATCTCATTCATTCTTATTTAGATAATTTCTGTGTAAAGTTCAGGCAAAACAGTATTTCAATTTTCTCAGTCATATATCTTATAAAAAATGAATTTCACAATACTTAAATTTTTCTTAATTGTCATTGAATTTCTCGGTAGCTTCTGAACCTACAACTTATTAATACTGTCTTATAGTCAGATGTGAACTACTCATATTTTCATGGATTATAACATATATTTAGCATCAATCTAGTTTAATAAAAATGTACAAATAAATTAATACACCATCACAGAAGATCTTCAATTTAGAGTTTCTTTTGGAAATTTTGCAATAAGGTATGAAATAAGTGACAGGATAAAAGCAATTATACATTAACAGTTATTATGGAATGCCATAATAACATTTTATAGTAAAAACAAAAAAGAAAAAGAAAAAAAATCAAATTTGACAAAATATTTTTAAAATGCTTATTGCTTAACAGTTCCTTAAATATTACTTAAAATTTCCTTATTCATTTTTCATATTAAAAAGCAATTTAAAAATGTTAAACAGATCTCATTAATGAGAGAAGATTCAAATATTGTTTCATTAACCCTAGAACACTAACCATGGGTATATAGTACCCAGCACAAATTTTCCTATTTTTAATTACAATTTTCAGTACCTGATTTTCTTACATAAATAATATGTTTTTCAGTTCCTATTAATGTTAACTCAAAGTACAAAGTTTGAAGTGCCTGCATGTAAAATATTTCAAATAAAGATTTATATTTAATATTTTTTTTGATATTTTCAAAATCGGGTATGATATACCCATGGTTAGTAGTGGTGTAACTTTAATTGATGGTTAGTGTTCTAGGGTTGAGGTGAAAAGCTTCATATTTCTTGAATTTACTTTAGCAAATATATAATGTCTTGTCTTCATAAATTTATGCAAATAAAATGGAGAAAAATCATAAAAAAGAAAGAAAAAAACAAAGAAAAAAACAAAACAAACATTGCTTTTTTCAGCAGTATATGACAATAAAACATCTTTTTCATAAATAGTTGGCAGCTCTTTAAAGGGATTGACTACCACCAACATATTTCCGCCAACAGTGTAGATAACATCTTGCTGGAATCTTAAATCCAGGCAGTTTAGAACTAAAATAGAAAAAAAAAACAAAAAAAAAAACAGACTTAGTTCATAATTTAAGTAATACAGTAAAAATTATTATTAAATAATTTAAGTACTCAAAAGTTTGTTCATTTATTAAGTTCAATATTTGCTAATGTACAAGATTTACTAAGACTGAATGGTTGTTCATAATCAGATTATTTGAAGATAACATTTGCCAAAATAATTGCAACTGACCATTTTCAGAAAATAGTCTTCTTTTAATTTTACTCTTCAAAAAATTAACCCAATAAATTTTTGTCTATATCTCTGAGATGAGGTATTATGATTACTTGCATTATTTACATTATTCTGACTGTTATCCTCATCTTTATTGCCATATTCACAACATTTCAGCTGTTGTATGCTCCGGCCTTCTTCAGATGATTGGAATTTTGAACTGATCCCTTTATTTTGTCTACCTGGGTAGATTGTTCTAGTTCCGTGTGCCATGTCTTTTTCCGGATCTCAGTTATTTCCCTTTAACTCAACTCTCCAAGTTTTTGGTTCACTGCTGTTATGGCCTGGTATTGAACTCACAACTCTTTGGGTCTAGTCTTTGGATCTACCCAACATCTTTATCCACTCGGTCAATCACCTGAAGAAGGCCGGAGCGTACAACAGCCAAAATGTTGTGAACATGGCAATGAAGATGAGGATAACAGTCTGAATAATGTAAATAATGCAAGTAATCAATAAATTTCCTTTTTAAACTTTCCTAAGATTGCCTTCAAATACATTTGAAAGTACATTTGTTTTAACAAAAGACTATTCATCTCTTCCATGCATTTCATATATTCAGTGTTTTCATTGCATAAACTACATTTTTAAATGATTCTTTGTTTCTTATAAGAGAATTTAACTAAAACAACACTATAATCAGTTGATTTAAGAATTAATTCCTAAAAATTATCTTCCAAACAGTAATAAGATACACAGGTCTAAATAGAAATTTATTGAAAAAGAAGTGCCATTATAATTTGATTAATTCTAAATTTTTTTCATTAAATGATTATAGACAAATTGTATATAGCTGTTAAAAATAATATGACTGTTATTAAAATCTGTTGAGAAAACAATGGCTATATTCAGTGTTCAAACACACTTGACAAAACTATAAAATCTACAATTAAAATATGAATTCCTGCTAATTATCTACTAAGCTAGCATGAGAATTTCAAGTTTACACAAAAAAGAATGATAGAAATTGATAAAATGTGTGAGATAAGATTTACATTATCAAGTATCTGTGTATATTTCTGAGATGAGGTATAATACCCAGAAATTCATACACAGATGTCCTCAAGGACATATGGCACAGTGGATAAAGATCCAGTGACAGGACCCAAAGAGTGTGAGTTCAATACCTGGTTAAGGCAGTGGAGAACTTGGAGAGGGGAATTAACAGGAGATAACTGATAACTGACATTCATTAAACATGGCACGTGGAATTAGAACAGTCTACCCCAGTGAGCAAAGGGTTCAGTTCGACATTCCAACCACCTGAAGAAGGCCGGAGCGTACAACGGCTGAAACGTAATAATTATGGTGACCAAGATGAGGACAATAGTCCGAATAATGTAAATAATTACATTATGAAGAAGTACTGAAAAGTTCTTGTCTTGACCTAGATGCCCTTTCAAAAATTCTCATATTGATTTTGGGAAATAAACTCAGCCAATAGTTTTTTTAACATCTCTTTGTATTAACATTAAGCATTTTTATTAAGTCTCATTTATTTTTATAGAAGCTAATGGATGATATGATCGATAAAATTTTATTTTTACTACTTTAAAAATGTTTGACTTGAATAAATGTTTAATTGTCTAGGTTGTCTTGTTTTTTTTAGCAAACGTTCTTTTGATAGAAGTGTATTTTTATGAAGGCCAGTTGTGTCGACACTTGTAGATCTTTTTCAGCTCAGCGGTTAAAACTGCCAAAATCGTGAAGGATCCATTTCAAGTTTATAGAAAATTATTTTTTCGTATATAGTGGCCAAATGAGAGACATGGTCTCAAGCCCTAGTAAGAACCTGAATGGGAGACTTTGGTGAGCCTATTTTATGGAATAAATAGGATTCAGGTCAGTAGATGAAGTGGAGAAGATATTTTGACAGCATGAGGACATGGCAAATTAACATGAAGGAGCAGAAGGCATTTGTGATCAAGAAGAGAGCATCAAGAAGGCACCAGCTACCAGACAGTTGCAGAAAGCCTAGAAATTCACAAGTGAAAAATCTCCTGTACTTGGACAACAAAGGATGAAAAGAATTCAAAGAAATATTCCCAAGCATGAACAGTGTGAATTTAAAAGTTCCAGAGATGTTCATGGGGAAAGTAAAAGTATGTGTTTTCATTTTTTTCTGAAAGGTGTGGCACCCGTTTTTCTGCCTTCTTGAACTATTTTCTTTTTCAATGAATGCTCGTCTTTTTCTAAACTGAAATCGTATTTTTTTTTCCATTTTTTTGATGGTAATCCTTTTTATCAGAAATTGTTATCCTGCTTTAATAGATGCACAAAAGGAAATTTTTGTGCAAATCTTGTATTTGTACCTTTTTTTTCTTTACTTGTGTAATAAATGTTTTTTCCTTTTTTTTTGTGATTTGCACCTATTTTAATCTTCAAGAAGCAAGAATTCTCTTTTCCCTTTCTATTCCTACTAGCTAGATTTTTGTGTTTAGAACTTAGATTTAGTAGGGAATATGATTTTTATAGATATCCTTGTAAAACTCTGTAAACTAGAATTTCATGAATGTGAAAATTTAAACATGTGAATAACATCTTCAGTAAAACAGTAAAGATTGATAACATAAGTAAAAAAAAAAACAAAATGTGTGGGTAGTCTAACAGTTATTGATGTGGAAAGGTGAATAGGAGAGCAGAGTTCAAATTCTGGCATAGTCTGTTGCATTTACTTTCACACTAAGTCCCTTATGAAAAGGGAATGAGTCCATTTCTTCTTCCTCTTGATAGAGGTTAAATAGTGATTTTCCAAGCGTAGCTTAGATGTGGCACAAGGCCGAAAGTAGGGGGCACCCAGTGAGGATCGAACTCACTACCCACTCGTAATTGTTCTAGCGAGACAAGCCTGCTAGCCATTACACTGCCGTGAGGTGCCCCTTGATAGAGGTTAAATAGCAGAGTTGATTGGGTTCTCAAGTGCTGAATGGCAGATCATTCAAAACTGAATTCCAAATCATGGAGAAGGCAACAGGAAACCATTCCACTATTTACCAAGAACTCATGGCACTTCACAGATAAGAAAGAAAAGCAATCTATGGAGAGTCATGCTTGTCCACGTTCTGAAGGAACATGGTATTAAAAAGATGTTTGCCTTGAGTAAATTTGGGGTTAAACAACCATTTATATAAAATGTGCAGTTCTAGAGACAATGGGTTAGCCTGATCTTACATAAATTTACAGGAAAAATGTAAACAATACATATAACATACCAGCAGCAGAATTGATCAAATTTAATTTGGTAAGATAATCACAGTTTATGTAATTTTCATTGGCTCTCAACAAAACATATTTTTTGTTTACTGTCACTTCCTAAAATAAAATAAAAAAAAAATAAAAATATAGATGAATAGAAGAACATTTATGCACAAGTGTTTTTATAGATTATTTATATATCAAATACTTAATCATACATCTTTTATTTTTTTCTTTTCAACTTTTAAATTATGTTTGTCTTTCTATCAGTTACATATTCACCTGTTAGTGACTTACACATTGGTATATAATAATAGTCAAAATGACTAAGTTCTATTATAAATGAGCAATAAACCAAGTGGCAATGTATACTTCTTGTTAGAAATATTTTCTTTTCCTTTTTGGCTTTAACAATTCCTTAGAATAAATAAAAACCAGTTCTATGACAGTAATCTGCTCTGGAAATTCTTTTGCTATTCTGTCTTTGCTTGTCTGTCTCTCTGCATTCTTAAACATCTTTTAGTTTAGGCTTGTGACATCACTTGACATGGCATACACTAACATTTCATTTGAAGTATTTTTATTAACATTGACCAAATATAACAGTAAATCTCTTAGTGGTATGATTGATCAAAAATATTTTGCAATTGTTTTACATAAACTAATATTTGTATTCTAAGTAATTTGCAATTTTTTCCAATTAAGAAAATAAAATAAAATGAATATTTTTAAAGTTTATTCCACAAAATTGTTAAAACTAGTATCCTCCTTTTGTTTTAGTCAGTTGTCTTCATATGTATATTGCATTTAAGTAATCTACTTTTTATTCACTTTTTCACATAAAATATGTGTGCTAAAAATACAAATTCTACTGTATGATAAAAAAATCCAATCTATATTTTGGAAAGTTCAGCAGGGATGATATTTTTTATGGAAAACAATTTTTAAAATAATTCTATTATTATTATTATTATTATTATTTTTTTTTTAAAGAATATGGAATTGGTAGAGATATGAAAAATCTACTCACTTTTTATTAAAAATTATGTACTAACCTCATTAAGGTTTATCTTTATGTATTAAAAGATGATTAAAAAAAAAACATTTTCCTACAAATGCAAAACTCTCATTACTAATTAGTAAAACAATGACAACTCAGTGAATTACAATTTACATTTTTTGGTAAAATATTGAGAATGCTTCCTTTTTTAAATTTCTTTTATATAAGACATATGGTACAAAACATTTTTAATGAGTTTTTTTTCCACAACTGTGTTCATACTTAATACATTAAATCAACTTATCTTGATATTACTAAAAGAAATATAGTCAGCTGTTAGGCTTGTTGTTAATTAAATTTGTTTCTTATGAGCAAATACATACTTTTTCTAAAATTTAGCATAATTTATTAATTGTAGAATATTCAGTGTTTTATGCGTGGTGAGAGTGTAATTATACTGTGAGAAGATTTAAGATTGATTGTTATGAAGTAGATGGAAAATTTAAAATGACCATGGGCTAGATTTTTCATCCTTTCTAGAATTAACATCAACTGAGAATAAAATCTTTCATATATTTAAAAAAAAAAAAAAAAAAAAAAAAGAAAAAGGGAGACAAATCAACTAAGCATCTTATATATATATATATATATATATATATATATATATATATATATATATATATATATACGCACAGGGTGTGACGGATAAATTGTTGTCTAAATTATGCAAAAATGAAAATAACACTGACATCTCATTTTAACAGATATATTTACCAAAATTACACAAAAAATCTTGAAATACTAAAGAGTAAATTTAATCAATAAAATTACTATTGGTTTCAGTCACGGCCTCTAGATGACTTCAGAATCGCCTGCAGCATTTCTGGTTGGTCTCCTTGTTTAAGTTGGTGAATGCTGCCATAATCCTTGCCTTCAGTTCATGTTGGTCTCTCACTTAATTGTGCCCACACATAATAATCAAGGTGGGTGCAGTCTGAGGAGTTAGGTGGCTAGTAGTAAAGGGTGATGTGATTGTAGAAATTGTTTGACAGCCATAACAGGGTGCTTGGGTGGCATGGTGCAGAGTCCTGTTGCCATAGGGTCTTCCTGCAGCCACACTCTTAACACAGGGTTGCACTACCCCTCCACAAGGCACTTGATGTAGGTCTCCATATTGAGACTGAGGCCCTCACCAACAAATTTGGGAATTCTTTTCTTATCAGAATGATCAGTTTTCTAAGCTTCTGTGCCTTCATAATCACCATTAGATTCATCCAACCCTTTCTGAATCTGTTCTCAGATTGATATCCAAACACTCTGAAATGTTTATATTGGCACTTCTGCTGTGAATGCCAAGCAGCACAGCATGCCATTCCCAAAATTCTGTCAGAGTGAATTGCGTCATGGTGCTCTTGTTCTCACAGATGGTGCCCAACTGACCCTACTACACTGTGCAGTTGACAAATTCAAACGCAAACTACATACATGCATAAAATCAAAAATATAAAGTCGCGGCAATTTATCCATCGCACCCTGTGTCTCTATCTCTCTCCCATATATATATATATATATATATATATATATATATATATATATATATATATAGAGAGAGAGAGAGAGGATTTACTAAGAGATTTTGGTCCGAAGAGATGAATATATAGATATTCATGAAATAGATTATAACCAAAATGAATCTTTAAGGTTTTCTTCTTTATTATTATTATTATTATTATTATTATAATGCTCTGTAGTCTACATTGAACTCTCTCTGGAATTATCGCAACCAGTCACAGATTGTTTTTTTAGGGTGTCCCAAAATAATACATACACTCTTTGAATCATTATAACTTATTCAATTAATGTATTTTGACTTGTAAATAAGACTAATACAAGAGAAAGAATATACATTTAAAGAATTTGAGAGTAAAATATACATAAAACATAGAAAATTAACTTTGATGAGATAAAAGCTACTTGAGGCAATGGCAGAATGTTCATATAATGATTAGTTCACATCAAGTGCACAAAGTGGTTGCTGTTCTGTTCAATACAATTTTCATATCTTGAAAAAATAGATCTACAAACATCCAGTATCATTTCCTCTGGTATTTGAGCACATTCTTCTTCAATTGCTACTCTTATTTCAGCAATTGTTTCAGGTTAACTGCTGTAAACTTTGTCTTTTAGAAACCCCCACAAAAAAAAAATCCAAGGGTGTCAAATCTGGTGATCTAGGTGGGTATCCAACTGCCACTCTTCTTCCAATCCATCTGTTTTGAATATTTTCATCTATGTAAAACAAATGTATTATTAACTATTAATATTTAAAGAGTGTATACATTATTTTGGGATACCCTGTGTGTGTGTGTGTGTATACATACATACATACATTTGTATGAATATGAGTTTGTAACCCTGAGTTTCATGCTTTTGTGATCATTTGTCTGATGGTCCCAAAAGCATGAAACTCAGGGTTGCAAACTCATATTCATACAACTGAATATGTTAGCTCTGTCACAGATATTGAGCACTTTCCACTGTGCATATAATATACATATATTATACACACACTTGTAAATATATTAAAAAATATATATGCGTGCATTACTTGCAGTGCAGTTTTAACAAGTAGAGTAGATCCCTTCACTGTTTTGACAATTCCAGGTATCCATACTTGTTCTGGATCGGGGACAAACACTTCCAAACCCTGGTAAGAAAAATTGATAGCAAATGCTTATTATGATTTTACAGCAATAGTTTGACATATCAAAAAACCTTTTTCTTCTCAAAAGTATACAGATCTGTTGATAGAACCTCAAATATCTCAATCTAGTCTTTAATAATATTCACTTTAGTAACAAATAACACAAGGCATTAAGTATTAAGAAGTATTATAGATTATAGGGGTGAAAACACATTTTTTTATGGCTGAGTTTTAGAAAGCACAATTTTAAGTGATAGATAATGTAGTGAAGGTGAATGATTCTTTATAGGAGGTGGTTATAAACTAAGAAGTGAAACAGTTTAGATTTATAGGAATATGTTCAAGTAAAGAAATGGAATCTGAATATTTGAGAGGCATCTGGAAAGTTCATGGACATGTATGCTCTCTAGTTTTGGTAAAATAACAAAAACAGCAAATCAGAATTAAGGATTCAGCATTGGCCAATCAGACATAAGATCAAGAATATAAAATTGTGTTCAAGTTGAGCCTATCTTTACCAATATAAGCAGAGGAGAATCAGCATTTAAACAGTGATAGAGGAGAAACAACCACATCAATGGATGAGTTTTGCATACCAAAACCAAATATGCTCCCAAAAGCTTACATGTGTGATATAACTGATGCTTGCCATAATGAAAATTGCTCTTACAGAGGCTCATCCTTTTTCTTTTCCTCAACACTAGTGTCCTGGTTAATAAATAGTTGTTATTATTTGTGTTTATTCATGTTTCTATAGTTAGAGACATTGCTACCTTAGGGTCAATGAAACAAATCATAGCTATCACACCTTCTAAAATTTCTTAATGAAAAACTACTCATGACTATACACTTACATGTCTACCCTTTATTCTCAATGATATACTTTACAAAGAATGAGAAGAAAGAGAACAACACTCCACAATTTTACCCTCAACTTCTGTTTATACAAAAATGAACATTTAAAAAAAAAAAAAAAAAAAAATCATACAAAATTAGTAACAACATAAACTTAAGATTTTATTTAGGCAGTAAAATTTCATATTTATTAAATGAAAAAGAAAAATAACAAAAATTACCTCATTAAAGGTGGTTTCTGTTGTTGGAGATTTTCTTTTTGGCATTGTCTGAAATAAATTTAAATAAATAACATTAGTGAAATGTCTGAAAATAAAAAGAAACTGTTAGTATAGAAGCTATGGTCACATCTCACAATTTCAAATGTAAAACGATGTGACTGAGCTGCCAATATAGTACTGCACTTAAATTTGTAATGTTGAGGTACCAAAGATGAAAGCTAAGAGTCCCATCAATAAAAACAAAACAATTTGTACACAATGTAAAAACAGCCAGGAGTGCAATTTGACAATAGAGCAAAAACAGGTCAAAAGTATACCATCCTAAGCATCCATTGGAGGTATATGCCTGAAACATTACTAATTTTGTATGAAGAATTCAACGAAACTTATCTGTAACATGAATACCTTTTGTGCGTCCTTGGTAAGATGATAAACTACATCCAACAGTAAGGCCTCTGATCAGGAGGTTTTGAGGAGTGTGGAACCACCTCTTAATTGCTGGTGTTCCCAGGTCCACCCTGACCTGGGGTAGTAGCACCTGTTAGGGTCCCAGCTATGGACAAATAGTTAACCCCCAAACGTGTGTAAAAATAGGTTTTAATACCAGAAATACTTTGTAATAAAAAAATTATTACCAGTAATAATTTTTGAAGGAAAAATTATTATCAGCAATGCTTTAAAAAAAAAAAAAAAATACCAGCAATACAAACAGTAATACATTCCTTCAAGGAAAAATATTCCCAGAAATAGATTTTTAATGAAAAACATTACCGGCAATAAAATTTTTATCGGCATTAAATAACCCATTGAGGTTGATATGCCATAAAACAAAAATCAAACCAAAAATACCTTTTGTCATAGATATATCTAATTTTGGAAAAGTTTGTGAAATAATACAATTTTTGACTCTTCAAAAAAAAAAAAAAAAAAAAAAAAAGGACAGTAATGACAACAGAACTTAATGAATAATTGCTCAATCCTTCAAACAAATGCTTATTGTAAAACTTTACATTCCTTTATCTTCAAACTAAAAAAATAATAATACATATATTGTAACTGATGAAAAAAGACTTTCTGGACAGTTGGAATGGTCCTCCTGCCATTCTACTTCTAATGGTTATTTGAAGTCTGTATTTGTTTATAAGTCTCTGCTATAATTGATATTCCTGAAACACTCCACATGTTATCATTTCTTGAAAGTGATATTATATCAAAGATCTATCTAAAAAACAAATGTTGATGTTACTTGTGCAATATTATCCAATAAAGACCATCAAAAATAATTTTTACCTTTGGTTGGAACTAAAATTTTGATTACATCACTGGACAGAGATGTAATATCAATGACTTGGTAATTGTAAAAGTTGGACTAATAGTAATTTTTTAAAAAATGTTGTTTTTGAGCTCTGTACAATTTCTCCGGCGGCTGTTCTCCACGCTGTGATGTTGCCGGGGGTTGGTTGAAAAAGTCGAAGTCTCAAGCTGGGGGCACAAGATAAAACATTGAAGGAACGAACTTCCACAACTTGGATGAGTTTAATCAACACTTTATTTCATTCAGACTTAGTCTTGCTGTTGGGGTAGGCAATGTGACACTCAGCTCTAACTCTAAGTAATGGAGATCAAATGCCGAACCGACCGACTCAGACGAACGGAGTTTCACTTCTTCAGTGTGCCTGACACACGTAGCTACTTCAAGCACACGCCCGGCTGAACTGCTCGGCTCAGAAAAATCACTTGTATTTATATTGAAATAATCGGAAGTCCACTAGACCACCGGGTGAAAACAAAAGATAAGCATTGGCGACTGTAAGTTCAAAATTTCAAGGTACTTAAATTTTGCTTCCTTTGATGTGTAAATATCCCGCGGACATTCCGGCTACACTTGGCCTCCAACGATGTGTTTTCCAGGATTTTTTTTATCTTTTTATCTTAACAAATCTTCATGTGAAGGCCGTTAGATGTTTTTATAGCCCTGGCACTTTCTCAGTAGCCAGGGTTTTTTTTTTTCTTTCCTTTTTTTTTTTATTGCCTGGAGAAAGGGAAAATTCTGCTATCTTTTCTTTATTTCCTTAATGTGTTGTCGAGATACAAAGACAGTTTTTGACCTGGTCATCTAAAATCTATTTCCTAAATGTTTATCTTTTATCACATCAAATCACTTAGTCAAATATTTTATTGGAAGACTGGTAGGATTTAACAGTAATCTGATGCCCTTTTCTCTTCCACAAATTTACTTATAAAAGAAAAAGCGTTTATTTATATATTTTTTCCCTTAGTACTTTTGTTAAACGAAACATGTTTTTAAACTATTTTTCTATTCTTAATTTATTAAACTAAAATACATATTTTACAAATCCACCTTAATATACGACTAGTTATCGTGTCACATTTTTCTTTTTAATGGTCATTCATTTCATTTCGATTCATGGTTGGCAGATTAAATCAAAAGTTTATTTAGTTTCTTTTCAAAAAAACTTTATTTTTTGAAAAGAAACTGTAAATAAATTTTTGATGAATCTAAATGAAATGAATGACCATTAAAAAGAAAAACAACACTTTTTAAAAAGTTTTTATAGACAAACATGAGTGCGAAATTTAAAGAATTAAGAATATCCAGTTTATATATTTCTTTTTTATACTAAAATATTAATTGTTTAATATTTGTTAAGAAAGTGCATAAAACTGCCAAGGAGTATGACAGTTTGAAAAAATACAATGGATAAGTAATTTATACAGTTTTAAAATGCATCATTAAAGAAAATATAAGAAAAAGATTTAAACTGTATAATATCCATCAATGAAAAGCCTTATTTAAAATTGGGTTCAGCTGGTGATGTCCATTCACTTGGTCTGCAATATTAATATGTCAGACCCAATGGTTTTGCATAAAATGAATGCAGTATATCCCCTTTTTGATTTGCATATGCCTTGAGTTGTATGGATGCAGAGATATGAAACAAACTGATTACACTGTGTAACATGACTTTTGCCCTTGGGTAGTCACTGTTTTCTATATGCTTACATCTAGAAAGTATGGAAGATGGCTAATATTTCTTTCAAACTTTGCTTTTGTGACAGGAATAATGATATTTCTGAAATGTTTTCTATTCCCATTGGGAAAATTGGAGAATGTGAAAATTCTCTTTCATGCAAAATAGGAACAAAATGATATATGATTCAAAAGTAGCATTTATTTATTCTAGGATTACAGAAAAGAGACCACAAAAAATTTAGAAGGGAGTAGTTTTTCATGATTTACACTTATACTGTGAATTACTTTCACAAATCAGCCCCCAAATATAGTCTCCCATCATGTTTTTTGTTATACAATCCTTGGTAGTGGCATTCAAAGTCCAGTATATCCTGGTGGAAGTGCTAGCCTTGCTCCACTTAGTATGCTGCCATGTTCTTGAATTTATGAAGATGAGTGTTAAGGATACAGACTTTAAGAGACATGCTTCAACACATTTTGCCATAGTTCTTCATCAGGGTCTCAAACAAGCTCCACATTATTTTTCAGTCTTGTGATTCCCCAAGAAGCCCAGAACTATTGTGACAAAGCTGTTACATGCAGCTTTCTCTGTCCTCGTGAGCTTCTTGGGAATTCCTTGCACCCTATGATCATTATTTGTGGTCTGGCAAAGACACTGACTTTGAATTTTGCCACAGACAGCTTAGGGAAGAAGTCCTGAAGGTACTTGAAGGCTGCAGACTCTCCTTGTCTAGAGCTGGGACATATTGTTTCATAAGGCCCAATTTTAAATACATTCCAGTGGTCCAACAGTGACTCCCATTTGATGTTGCTTGTCCTCACACTGAACTCAGTCTGATGTGGCCATTCCCGCCTATGGTAGTGTGACGCAGTGTCACTGCTATCCTAATGGCAAAAATAACATGGAACACTTGGTAAAGTTTCCTTGAAGACACATTTGAAATCTCTGATAACCTCCCAACTGTACTATACATATTTCAAGGCATCTAGTAAGATCTTGACACTGCTATATTCCACACTGGGTTGCACTGAGTGATCCAGGGGAAAAGAGATGGATACATGTTCCCATTATGAAGCAGCACAGCTTTGAGGCTCCTGGATGAGCTTCCGAGAAAGAGGCACCACTTGCTGGGGTTACAGACAATTCCAAATGCCTTGAACAAACTGGTTGGTCACATTGTGGCAGAAGCAAAGTCCCATCTTGATGGGTGAAAAAGCTTGATAAACACTGGGGATGCTTTTCTCTGATTTGTGACTTGCACACTTTCATCTAACAAATTCCACTGCTTGAGTCATGACGTCAAAAGCTTGGCATTGGACTTTGTGAGACCAAAATCTCTGATCAGGTTGTTTTTGGTTAGGTTTCTCTCCTCAGCTGCATCTCTGTAATCTGGATCAATAACTTCATCCTCTTCTGAATGGCTCTTCTTTTTCTGAAGACAACTTGTCTCTCTTTGGAGGAGTGTGTATGGGGAGCTCATCAAGGCAGTGTGGCACCAGGAGTGATGGATGACAAAAGATCTGAATATATGGTAGTGGCTGCATTCTTGATTGGTTTGTTTTTGCTATATTTAATGGATGTCAGTTATCAGTTATCTCCTGTTAATTTCCCTCTCCAAGTTCTCCACTGCCTTAATCGGGTATTGAATTCACGCTCTTTGGGTCCTGTCACTGGATCTAACTAACGCCTTTATCCACTGTGCCAGGTGTCCTTGAGGACATCTGTGTATGAATTAACATGGCATGTGGAACTAGAACAGTCTACCCCAGTGTTATGGTGAAACACACCTATTCTATAGTTAATAGACTCTTCCACCTAATATGAGTAGTAAGAGAAACGAGGGTCAGTCAGTCAGTCGATGTCAGTTGACAGTTAGTTAAATACGAAAGTAGTCAGTGACCACAACAAGATTACTCTGCGTAATACCTATTATATCAAGTTCCTAACGTTTTGTACGTCATACTATTTAGGACCGATTTAGTACAAATACAAGCCTCCACTGCGAAATAACTCCACAACATCCAGTGAGTGAAATAAAGGGTTCAGTTCGAT